CTTTCCCAAGTCAACAAAAAATAACGTCCGAGTTATATATTATATATTTATATATAATTGTTTATGCATATTTTCTTGATTTAACCAATTATTGCGAATTTTAATATAAAAATAGCATTTAATTTTTTTTTATTTTTATTCGAGTGCTTTTTTTTAGCTGTGCGTTTCACCTTTATTTTACCACAAAGCCCAATACGAAGATACCATACGAAGATTCGATTTAGCCGTTTAAATCAAACCAATACATTTTTATATTTTAGGGCAAAATCGAAGGATCAATCGATTAAAAATCATATTGGATGTCAAAAACGACCGGGGAGATAATATATACCGGGATTTTATTATTGATGATTGTGTATTATTGAAAATTGTCTATTTAATTGATATTAACATTGGTATGTTAACAATAAAATAAACTATTTAAATCTATTAAAAATATTCTTTAATGCCCTAATGATTGATGGAAACCATTGGTTTAATAGCAAAAAATCCCATAATAATGACAATGTTTTCACTCTCGCGTGGTCATGTGTGACGTCACGAGCTTTGATGCGATTTTCGCTTCCGCGTCTCGTATACACGAGTTTGTCGTTGCTTTGAAATTTTTCATGCAACAAAAACAGACTATCATTATTGTTTCGGCCGTGTATTGTTTGATATATTGAAATGTAATTGTCATCTTTGATAATGGCTTATGTAAGCCGAAAGCTTAGATAGGATTAAAACATGTATCAATATGGTCACTTCCTTTCGTCTTTCAATGATAATGTTATTAAGCTTATCAGACAATATGAAAGGAACTTACTTAAAATAAATAGACAAAACTTGTCTATATTATTTAATGAAACATGCATCAATATATATATAACATATTTTGACAGCCTGTTTTCATAAAGACATGTCTCATTGAATAATTTAGACAAGCTTTGTCTACTTATTTTTAATAGGAGTCGCTCATATTCACACACAAGCTTCTTAGCATCCTTATTAAAGGAAGAGAGAAAATTACCATGTTGATACATATTCATTTATTCCGAGTACTTTAGACATTATCACAATGATTTTGTTGTTTTTTCTATGACAAAATTGTTGTTTATCTAAAAGTTAAATTTTTTTAACTGTGAAGTGAAAAACGCCAAAGTTATGTATTGTACGATTTAAATTTCACGCTGTAAACATCAGGGGAGGTAACTAAGTTTTGAAATGTCCATATGTTTTGTTAAAGAAAAACAACTATTAGTTAAAATCTACATATTTTAAACTGTCTACTGTAAACGTTTTAAAACATTTGTGCAATATTCATAATTAATTTTAAGGGTTGGTTCCAATTTTTTAATATAGATAGCTTCAAGAATTTTTAGTCTATGTTTATTATTTTAATGAAAAAGTATAGATGTATTTTCAACAGAAATTTTCTTAAATTGTGAATGTGGACAGACTGTTGTAAATGTGATATGTTTGATGCATCATTCAAATGAAAACTCAACCGTCAAGACAACGTAGTAGTATGACCAACATATATATATATATATTTCTGTTGGAGATACAATTTCCCCAGGGACATTAAAATTTATATACAATGTTGGTTTTCTGCAACACGTTAGTTGGTGGGGAGAAGTCATTATTCAATTAATCCTAAATATATTAATCTTTTATATCGCAATCAAATACATTCTAATTACAAACAAGACAGAAATATCCTAATAAATACTAATATATCCACCACAGATCCTAGTAAAAAAAAAAAATTAATTATATACTATACTAAATTCAATTTATCCAATTTAATTAAATGAATCCTCCTTCACCAAAATTTTTAATCGCTACAAAAATATTTCATGGCAAAAACATTCTCAAATGAAAACCAATTTCCAGAGGTTGTCTAAAAGTTTTTCACATCAATACCAGAAGAAATTTTCTCGAATGATATCGAAGAGATTTCTTAAAACGCAATGAAGCACTAAATGCACATTTATACGTCCAGCAGCTGCAACGTGTCCATATTTTGGCCGAAAAGCACCCTGCGCTTGTCGATAGGAAAAATGTCATTCTTCTGCATGACAATGCAGAGAAACACAGGGGAAAAATTGGTTGTCCTGTTCTGTCCCATCTGCTGTATCCCCCTGACCTTCTACCAACCAATTATATCCTTTATCGATCCCCGTAAAACCCTTTGATGGGAAAAGTTTATGAGAAATGATAGTGACTATATAATTGAATAAAATTGTAATTGCAATTTATTTCTTGAAGAACAGAGAGGAAAATAAAAACGGAAATTATTTAAAAATCAACGCATCTGTGTGTGTGTGTGTGTGTGTGTGTGTGTGTGTGTGTGTGTGTTGATTGTTTGGGTAAAATATTTTGGGAAGGGCCGGATTCAAAAATTTCTAAAAATATACCTGCCATCACTCCACTGAAGTGAGATCCCATTGGTAATTCAAATTTTTATTTGTAAAAACCATTATTAAATGTAAGTAGCTTTGCTTCATGATGAAACGGCAGATTTTTATTATTTTAGTTGGTAGAGAGAGCTTTATCTTTGATTGTGTTAGATGCTTTTTTAGTAGATTTACCACAAAAAAAGGACCCTCCTGGGAAACCCAATGAATCAAAAAAATATATTTTATCCTGCTTACTAAATCTATCACATTACAATTGAAAAGAATCTATCTGAACTCAACATAAAAGTCATTACTACTACATCCAAAACAATAAAAGACTTAATACTAAACAAAACAATAAGCTAAAACCTGAAAGAGGAGTTTACTCCATTGCCTGTAATAATTGTCATAAAAAATACAAAGGAGAAACCTCAAGGAATCTAAATAAAAGATTATATGAAAACAAAAGGGACATTTTACAAAATAATACATCAAAATGCGTTGGTTGCATTGCTTGACCAACTGGACAAAGATATCAACACATTTAGCATGAGAATCAGGTGAGACATTTTTTCTTGCCACCCCCAAAATAGTTGAACTCTTTTTTGCCCCAATCAGCTTGGTGTAACTCTCTCTCATATATATATATATATATATATACAGCATGTCCATAAAGTCAGTGTGCAATTTAAAATACATAAGTACTTTAAATTGCACACAGACTTTATGGACACCCTGTATATATAGGGTTGGTGCCTAATTATCAGACGCTTTTGTAGGTTAATGAAAATTGCTTTGTTTATTTTTTTTAATAAAAATATTTTATTTTCAGGTTATAAAAATGCATGTCAATAATCATATGCTCTGGAATAAGCATTTAAAAATGTTATTGTTGAATTGTTTCTTTTCTTTCCTCATAATAAAGATTGTTTAAAAAACAACTGATAATTATGCACCAACCGACTAGTTCATCTGTGAAGCTATCCAAGTGAAACTTACTCCTTACTAATGGAATACAAAGGGAATATCAGTGTTCACATCAATGTATGCATGGTGAGACTTAGCTGGGAGAGGTAAGAACTCAATCGGTTTTGTAATGTTCACAATACTCATGTTTTTGTAGTAGTAGTAGTAGAAGAAATGCTTGTACTGACAATTTTTCTTCTTTCAACAAGAAAAATGTAAATGCCATGATTGCCTTATATTTTTTTTATATGTTCCACCATACAAGGCCCAAGTGTCGCTGAAGGCAGAGGCTTACTGAAAGCAATTATTGTGTGGGTGGTAAGGGGCACAGTTTATGAGGATATGTGGGAAAGATAATGGTTCAGCCTAAACCTGAAGTGGTTAAAAATTGTAGTGGTCAAGAAAAAATCATCCTGGGATTCTGTTCTACAAAGCAACAGTTTTTGGGAAGAAGCTATCCAAATGGAACTTACTCCTTACTAATGGAATATGAAGAGAATTTTTAAAATTTTAAACTTCTTAGCAAAGATATAATCCACAATTTGTGTTCTACAATTTTTCAATATATTCCAGCTTTATCTCCTGTTATGGAAAAAATCCTTTAATATTTCTTTCTCTCTACAGTACCATTTTTCTTACAAAGGTTCAGCTGATAAAAGTCCCACAAGCCACTCGAGGTAGAGGGTTACTGAAGGTGGTTGTTATGTGAACCATAAGAGCTTGCAGCTTATGCAGATATGTGGGAAAGATAAAGGTTAATCTGAGACTTGAAGTGGTTAAGATTATAGTGGCCAAGAAAGCATCCTCCTAGGATTCTGTTCCACAAAGCAACAGTTCTTGGGAAGGAGCTATCCAAGTGGAACTTACTCTTTACTGAAGCAATACAAAGGATATAGGGGGAGGGTCCCTCGACATATGGTGAGACTTAGCTGGGAGGGGTAAAAGCTAGGTCAGTTTTGTAATGTTCAAAACACTGATGTTCGAATTCCAATCAAATCCATTACATTCACTTACTTGCTAATACTCTTGGGAAAGGTATGAATCCTCTTCTTCTTCTTCCCACCCAGCTATAGATAAAAAGCAGTACAGACTGGGTTCTATAGCCTTGGATGATAACTGATCTACCACAGAAAGAAATGGCAACCTACTGCAGGAAAAAAAATCTGCCTCGTCAGTCATGTATCGAAAGATACACACTTAGTGTATCACAAATGGTACATTACTGAGTAGTAGAAGCAATGCTTGTATTAACAATTTTTCTTCTCTCAAACAAGAAAAAATGTCAATGTCCAGGATCGCATAATAATTTTTTTTATTGATGTTCAGCCCTATACAAAGCCTAAGAGCTACTCAAGGTAGAGGGTTACTGAAATCAGTTGTTGTGTGAGTGATAAGAGGCAAAGTTTATGAGGGTACATGGCAAATATAACAGTTCAGCCTAGACCTGAAGTGGTTAAAATTGTAGTGACCAGGAAAGCATCCTCCTGGGATTCTGTTTCACAAAGCAAGTTCTTGGGAAGAAGCTATCCAAATGGAACTTACTCCTTACTAATGGAATATGAAGACAATTTTTTAAATTTCATACATCTTGGGAAATGTAAAAAGAAAAAAAAGTGAAGGAAATATAGAAAGAATGAAGTTAAAAAATGAAAATTAAAAAGAAAGAAAGAAACTGAAAATGGTAAAAAGAAGGAAAATGGATGGAAATATAGAAAGATACAAGATATAAAGAGAATTAAAAAGAAAGCGAGAAGGAAGGAAAAGAAGAATAAAAGATACGATGAAAAGTAAAAAGAGAAGGAATAGTAGAAAGATAAAAGAGATGAAGAGAATAAAAAAGAAAGAAAAAATGAAAGAAAGAAACTATGAAATATAAAAGGCAAGAAAAAGAAAGAAATAAAGAAACCATATATAGTTAAAAGAAAGAACTAAAGAAAAACACACTGAGGCTCTCCATTGCTAAACACATCAGTCGTGTTGGTTGAGCAAAATTTATCAGTTACTCATTTGTTTGCAAAACATAACACTCATACAAGCAGTACAATCATATAATGAAACGTCAAGATGTTTCACAAAACACCAAATGCGAATCCACATGTGAATTTCTTTATTGTTCACAAAGGCTCAAAAGCCACTCAATGTTCCACAAAGCAACAGTTCTTAGGAAAAAACTATTCAAGTGGGAACTCACTCCTTACTTATAGAATACAAAGGGAAAGTTGTATGCTGCCCAGCAGGTCTTAGCTTGGAGGCTTAGAGCTTGGGAACTAAGGAACATAACTTATCTGAATATTTTTCCATTTGCAATAGAATAGTGAGAGGTTTGCAACGTTTCGTCTGTGAAAAAGATGTTATGAGGTACAAAACGATTCATCACCCACAAGGCCGCATAAATTCTTTTGAACCATATCAAGACTGGAAAGTGAAGACTGGGAAGCTCTTTCTGATGGTTCTGGCTCTTGTATAAAATCATTCAAAGGTTTTACTAAAATATTGAAAAAGCTCAAACAAGTCTAACTGAATGCCATGAATTTGTTGCTCAACTAACGTATAATAGTCTGCTAGTTTTTAAAATAATAAAATATCAAGATATTTTTGCAAAGCACCAAATGCAAACCGACGTATGAATTTCATTTTTTAATATTGTTCACAAAGGCTCAAGGGTCACTCAATGTAGAGTCTTGCTGAAGACAGGTGTTGTGTGAGTGGTAAGATTAAGGGACACAGTTTATTCAGATGAGGTGTGAAAGATAATGGTTAACCCTAGGACTTGACAAGGTTAATATTTTACCGGTTGGGAAAGCATCCTCTTGGGATTCTGTTCTACAAGACAACAGTTCTCAGGAAGAAGCTATTCGAGTTGAACTTACTCCTTACTAAAGGAACAGGAAGTCTAAGAAACGGGTCTAAGCAGGGGGGTTTAGAGTTGGGGTACTAAGGAATGCGGCTTGTCTGAACATTTTTCTATTTGTGATAGAATAGAGAGACACTTGCAACATTTCATCTGTGGGAAAGAAGTTATGAGGTAGAAAACAAGTCATCACCCACAAGGCCGCCTAGACACTTTTGGGCTATATCAAGTCTGGAGAGTGAAAACTGGATAGCTCTTTCGGTTTGGTTCGGTTTGGTTTGGTTTACAGTATATCAACTTCAATGGGTTATTTAATGCCAACAACTTTTTCCTGCTAATATTTTGTTTTATCAAAAATCTATTTCTGGTAATATTTTTTCCTCAAAAATGTATAGCTGGTAATATTATTTTTTTTTTTTTTTTTTTTTTTTTTTTTTTTCAAAAACGTATTGCTGGTAATGATTTTTTTTTTTTTTCAAAAATATATTGCTGGTAATAGTTTTTTTCAAAAATATATTGCTGTTAATAGATTTTTTTTCTTCAAAAATTTATTTCTGGTAATAATTTTTTAGAAAGTATTTTGGTATTAAAACCTATTTTTACACTTTCATAATGCTTTTTACCTCAGTTTCAGGGTTAACTATTTGCCCATAGCTGGGACCCTAACAAGTGCTACCACCCCAGGTCAGGGTGGACCTGGGAACACCAGCAATTAAGAGATGATTCCATGCTTCTCAAAACGTCCTGATCAGCGGCCTTGCTGTTGGACATAGTTTATTGTGTTACCCTGGACGCAGATGTAGTTTATCATCATACCCAGGACAGAGCTCTTTTAGACTGTTCTGGCTCTTGAATAAAATCATTCAGACAAAAGTTTTCCTAGAATACTGAAAAAGGTAAAACTAGTCTGGCTCAAGGGCATGAATTTGTTGCTCCACTAACATAAAATGAGCTGCCACTTTATTTTACAAAGTGTTGTATCATAGGATACAAATTGAGGAACACCATAACAGAATCTTTATATTCTGTGATTTTCTTCTTCTTCTATTAATGTTGTAGTAGTCAGGAAAGCATCCTCTTGGGATTCTGTTTTACAAAACAGTTCTTGGGAAGAAGCTATTAGAGGTGAACTTACTCCTTACTAACGGAATACAAAGGGAATGAAGGTGGTTCACCGCAATGCATGCACCGTGGCAGACATCAACTGGGAAGGCTAGAGTTGGGGTGGAACTAAGGAATGTAGTTTGTCTAAACATTTTCTATGGAAATAGCAATAGTGTAGCGAGACATTTCCAACATTTCATTCATGCAAGAGGTTGTAAGGTAGAAAGCAATTCATCACCCACATGGCTTCATAGACACTTTTGAACTCTATCAAGACTGGAAAGTGAAGACTGTGCCGCTCCAGTCTAGATATGGCAACAGTATTCCATTTTTGTTCTGACCTGACAACTTGTAAAGAGAGAGCACAGCAGGGGGAGTCAGGTACTTACTGGAGCAGCAAATGGAACCGACCATTTCTCAAGCATCTTTCACAATATGTCATAAAATACAAGTTCCACTTGATCTCTGAGGTGAGTCCCAATAGGAGTTCAAGTCAAGGAGCCTTCATCAAGTGCTTGTCAGTTCGGGTAACCTTCAGGGAATGTTGAAATTAACCCTTTATTTAATCTATTTATTTATTAAATAAAGAGTTCAGTTCAAAATTACCTGATGAAGGTCGGAATGCACAATAGCCGAAACATTGTGATAACAACAAAAATTAAGAATTAAGATCAAGTGCAGCAACTCTCTTCAATGCTTTTGATGAATTTAGTAAAGCTGTCATCTGAATGGTTTCAATTCTTTCAACTCATTTTGTAAACCTCTTTGGGGATTGTTCTAAGAGCACCAGTAATGATGAGTACATCTATATTTGTAATTTTCTTCAGTTCTCTTTAGAAATCATTCAAACTATTCCACTTGTGAAAAACACACCAGTCTGTCAAGTTGTGGTAAAACATTGAATCAGTGAATTATGAAAATGCATTGGCCAATGATTTTTATTATGAAAACGCATTGGCAAATGATTTTTACTATGAAAACGCATTGGCAAATGATTTTTACTATGAAAACGCATTGGCCAGTGATTTTTACTATGAAAACGCATTGGCAAATGATTTTTACTATGAAAACGCATTGGCCAGTGATTTTTATTATGAATTTTAGAAATACCAAAGTGGGGTGTGGCCAAAAATGGTTGGGAACCACTGTAGAAGTTAAAATAGACTTTAGAATCTAAAGTCTACGTCTGTACTTTTAATATCTTGTTCTGAACTCTGAAATTTTATTTACTAATTCTTTTTCTTCTCTTCAATAGGAGTAGATAGGTTTACCTATTACCTGGTTCACACTCCACCCTGGTCTTTTGAACGGGTGTAGTAGTTTACCTCTTGTTTCCTGTTTAGGATTGATTTTCTAAAGTCTTTTCATTCTCTTTCAATCCAAGTAGCTCCTTGTGTCTTTGTCACATCATCACTTTGCTTAGTTTAATAAAGTATCAGAAACTGAGTCATTGGAGTCTCAAAGTCTGTGAGTCCTTAGACATATCTTGTTGACTAATAGAAGACAGGCGTGGTGTGGATGACCCAGATAAACCCTGTGAACATGCAGCCAGAGAATATTAGAAATAGAGGCTCAACCTAGACAGCAATTCAAATCCTAGCTGCCAATCACAATAAGTAGTGAAAAATTCTTGTCCCAGGTTCCCAAAACAACAGTAGGGCCTAATTGCTTATATGCTATCAAAAAAGGTAATGAACAGCTTCGTCTTCAAAAGGCAGACACGTTGGCGACAGCCAGGGCTGGGGCATGTTACTTGCAACTCGGGCATTTGTCAGGGGCACCATCAAAATCGAGAGTACCGTCATGTGTATGTCATGTGTTTGCGATCTTTGGAACAAAAAGGGAAAAAAATGTGAAAATAATAAATAAAAATGAAATAAAAAAATAAAATATGAAATTTCTTGAATGGAGTAAAATTTTTGAGAATTTGATTATTAATTCTTTCTGTTATGGTGTCGGGATCAAACACCACAACAAAAAAATGAATAAGTAACCGTTATTCTACATTCCCCCCTCCACAAAAAATAAAAAAGTATCTAAGTAGTGCTGCAAGATAGAAGAGGAGAAATTCTTTCTGCAAAGAATAAAGTACCATTTTTAATTCTTTACAATTATTTCATGATCTGTGGTTGATGGTAACTTCCATGAATGCAGTTCTATGGCTCCACAAGAACCAAAGTAAATTTCAGCTGTGGGTAACGGCTTAAGAATAAAACCATTTTTACTTGCTTGTGTTTATCCACAGATGAAGAAGTCACTACTTAAAACAGTAAATAATGAGTTTTTGTTTTTTTTTTTTAATTATTAAAATACACGAATTACTTCATGCTAAGTTGCAAAGAATTTACAAAAGTTTTGTTAAATGACTTGTCCTTTCTTATTTTCAAGTTCTCATATGCAATTTTTGAGGTTTCTACCTTCATAAGACAATGTTTTATGTGAATTGGTTGGTATGTAAGCACAAAGAATGGAAACTCCTGTCCAAATTGAGGAGTTTCTATTATTTACAGTCGTACTAATGTCCTCATCTCTGTTGCTACTATGTTTCATTCACATTACCTGTGGCCTTCTTCATATTAATTGATTTGTTTTTTACGGTTTATCAACCTTTTGCAGGTTATTTAAAACCAGCAAAAACTGAAGTTATGAAAAAAAAATCTCTTTGGTAAACCCAATGTGCTGCGTAGTTTTTGATGAAACACACCTAGATATGGAGAATGGAACGAGAACAACACAATCCTGAAGATTAAATAATGGATCCAGTTCAAAATTCCTCAAAGTTTAGCTGAACTGACAGTCACCTGAAGAAGGCCAGAGGGCACGATGGCCGAAACATTGTGACAATAACAACAAAAACAAAGACAATATTTCAACTGTAAATAATGGCAATACCTGATGTGCACTTCTGGTTTTGATATGTGTACTAAATCTGTCATCAACCAATGGCAACTCCCAACTGCTCGGCCCAAAAACATTTGCCCTGTTATACACACACCCATATATATATATATATATATATATATATATATATATATATATATATATATATAAACACACATGTGTGTGCACAAATAAGTATAGAACTGACTGAATGTTGATACTGATTCTCTCAACAGTGACAATTACATATAAGATATGAACACCCAAAAAGCTTGATAAGATCAGTGTGCAGTATGGGGGCAGGGTAACAGTCAAGCCAGCTCTTGGACATGTATTGTCTGAACGGGAATCTCAGAGCCTGTAGCAGCTATCAAACGATGTTCTATGTGACCATTTCTCTGATGTCCGTATTCGAATTTAATCCGAAGTTCACCTATGTGTGATTTTGGTAAAATGTCTGGGATCCACTCTATAATGAATGGCGTCGGATCTTTCTGTTCCAAACTTGTGTTACCTGAAAAAATATTGTGAATAGGTGGAAACATGGATTATCGTATTTCATGAAGTTCTTGCACAAAATATTCTGATATTCAAAATATGACAGATATATAAAATATTTCAAATTATCTGAATATTAAAAATAGACATTGGAACATATTGTAAAAAAAAACATTTGTTGACATTAATGCATCTGCAAAATAAAATGTCTGCATATATAAAATGTAATATTCATTCATTTTGTGTGTGTGTGTGTGTGATCCAAGTGCCGACCCATATATAAATAACCAAGTATATTTACCCAGACTCCCCACTAAAGCAAAGGTTGATTTTTACATAGGGAGCCCATTCGCATACATATGCATAGGAGCCAAGGACAAAAATATTGCCTAGTACTCCTGACTCCACCTCTCTTACTGCAATGAGGGAGGGGCTGCCAAAAAGTGAACTCCTGTACTAGAGAAGTATGTTAAACATTGTGGCATACCTATGGACGATAATGGGTATGTCCCCATTCACATAACTACAATAGTAAATACTGTATGTTGGTCTGCAGTTGAAGATTCATTGTGAAATTCACTTGACTTACTTCTAGCAGTTGACTACTTCTTCTACACGCCGCTAGTGAATCTTATATGTGTTGTTCTTGTCCTAAGTATTATCATTCATTACCAACCTTCATGTAATTATTCTATTCAGTAACTCTTCCTAGGTTACAACAGTAAATAAACATGTTATTTATAAGTATAATGCTAGTACATTTATAGAGTTATTTGTTAGTTGATTTTACACATCAACCTTAGTGGAGTTATTTAATGTCAAATTATGTATAGGACACATAGTGAGGAACAAATACACTAATCGATAATAATGGTCAACCAGACTAGCTTTGCTAACCATTACCCAACACTGACATGCCTTTACATATGTGTGTCTGTGTGTAAATTATTTCCTTATAGAGTGAATCTGTTAAGGGATAAAATGAATAAAAATACAAGAGGAAAAAACAATTCTTAGTCAATGCGTTTCATCCTCTGAGGGACTTTATCAAGGCAAATGTAAGGATTTATTTTGTTGCACATATTCATATACAAGAGCAAGGATGTCATCAATGCTTTTGAATTTGAGAACATTTATGAATATTTATCAGGTGGTTGAAACGTTGGTCAATCAAAAAAACAGGCGGAGAACACAAAGTGGCATAATTCAAATCTGGTAAGATAAAAAGTAAGCAAGTAATAATCAAGAAATATATTTTTTTCTTAAATGAATATCGATTAAATTGTGATCAAATTTAGTTGTGCTGATTTTTTAAAAGTAACACACTCTGACAACCGTACATGCAAGTTTGTCTTCACAAGTAAAGAAATATATAAAATTTACCATGGCTAAAAGTGGGATATCTGTGTACAACTTGTTTATAGAAGAAAAGTGAACACCTACTTAATGGATAGCGGCTTGAAATGAGAAATCAAAGAGCCAAGTTCAAATTACAGTCAGATTTGTTATATTCACTTTATGTGTATATACTCATGTGAAAGGTCAGCGTTTCTCAACCAGTGGGGCTCAGGTGTACTAATGCACCCTGAAAGTTAACCAGGTACACTCCAAATTAACAGAAGAGTAATTTATGAATTACTTTTGTATTTAAAAAATCTTTATTTTTTAAAAAGCTAGAGACACCAAGCACATGGCTTCCATGGCTAGGTCAAGTCTTTGCTATTTGATATTTTAAAGTTGATGCTAAATTCCTTAATCTTTAAGGCATGGATAATCTTTTGCCTTTCTCAAGGGATTTAAACTAGTCATTATTGGCCTCTCTAAAAAATGTCTGGGTCCTATATATATATATATATATATATACACACACACACACACACACAACACAACACAGGCTAGTAAGAAAATGTTTAATTTTGGGATATTATTCAATTGAAACACTTCATGCAAGAGTGAACCATAACCCTTTGTCTGTCCTGGGCATCATATGTGATACACAGAATGTGATTTCCAAATCCATGAATCATATGAGGTGCACGAGCCATGATTTTAAACAAGCGATAAAATTAAGGACACTTAAAAAAAGAGTCTACTATCGAGCAGGACATCTGAAGAAAGACCTAATCAAATATTTTATGCATCAGCTGAGTTGTCTTGAAATATTTATAAATCTGAAAACAAACAAGAATGTTTGGATAATACACAGGGAAATGCCTTGAACAGGCAAAGGGTAAAATGATTACTGTACCACTAATCTTCTTTGAGAATGGTAAACCAAAATTTCATATTTTCAAATTTCATGACTAATTAAATTTCCTTATTAAAATTTAAAGTGCATCCTGAGAGTTTTAGTTATTCTACAAGTGCACTCTGAAGTAAAAAAAGAAGGTTGAGAAACACTGGGCTAAATGGTCGGACTTGTATCTGGAAAAATCATTATTATTCTCAAAAAATTAGTTAATGCAATATTCACTCATAAAAAAAAAATTACTTCAGCTTTAAATAACCCACAAAGTGTTGATGAGCCATAAAAGATCAAATCAATCAGTTAATCACATACTAAACAGTAGCAAATTGGGCTAAATTTGAAAGCACATAATTGATAAATTTTGAATTGACTTTCTTATTAGTAGCCCAAATTACCTATTTTGAAAACAACTGAAAAAGTCACAAGTAGTGAAATTCAAAATGTGCTAATATGGGCTTTCAAAATTATCCCAATCTGGCAACTGAGTTTACATTCCAAAGCCCTCAAAACTGATACAAACATTTTAAAAAAAAACAATGGGTTATTATTAAAAAAAAAAAAAAGAAATCAATAATACATTCAAATAAAAAAAATTGATAATAAATAATGCAATAAAAAATATACAACTGACCAACTTTGAGAAACGTTTTCAGCTCAAACGGCCTAATTGGAGTTTGATTTTTGCTCTTGTAAGTATCATCGATATTCTCCACCTGGACTTTGGGGACCTCATAAAGGTCATATGTGCCATCTCTGTTCTCAACAAAGTTCCGAGTTATCTCAAGCGGCATCTAGGATAAACAAAAAAATAATTTTAAAAGTCTATTTCCAAAGAAAAATGTTTTAATTATTTTTTTTAATTTAGCTCAGTTTGAAAAATAATAAAGATAGTTCTTATGCCACAAATAAAAATGGTCAGTATTTCCTTGTGTATGTATGTCAGTTTTTAAAAAAAAAAAAAAGAAGAGTTTTGAGTGGGTAAAGTAAATTCTGACTTCATAGTAATTGTCTTTTAGAAGCCAAATCCATTTAGGATGTAGGCGATCATGGCTCGCCACAACTTCCTGTCTCTTGTTGCATTAAGTAATGTTTTATTCTTTATCATCCCTGGTTCCTCCTCTGTTTATCCATTTACAGGAACCAAATCTGTATTCCTTTCTCATAGGAAACTATCTTCAAGCCATGTGTGCTTTACCATTAAGCTACAAGAAGCTGTTACAGTAATGCAAGTCTGAATTACTCCATTTAACAAATGCATATCCCTCATTGGGTCATTCCAAAGTCTATAGCCTACTGTCAAATCATGCTGAAAACACTGGTTCTCATTCAATCACCAAAGTTAAGCAATGTTGCGCCCAATCAGTACGTATGGGGACTGTAAACTACCTACTACAATCCAAAATATGTTTAAGCTTTAAATAAGCCACAAAAGGTTGATAAACCATAAAAAACAAAATCAATCAAAACTATGCCTGTTAACTTTAGTTTTTGCCGATATTGCTGAGTTTTTGTATTGTAACTATTTATACTATTTACATTGTTTAGACTGTTGTCTTCATCCTTATTGTCATATTTACAACATTTTGGCCATTGTGCACTCTGTGATATACATTAGAATTTTGAAGAAAACCCTAAAGATCCACAGGGATAGGTTGTTCTAATTCTACATACCATGTCTTTTCTGGATATCTCAGTTTTTCAATTAATTCCCTTAAGTAACTCAACTCTCAAAGGTTTTTTGTTCACCTCTGCTGCAGCCAGGTATTGAACTTACAACTCTTTGGGTCAAGATACTTTTTGAATTACTTCAACCAATGCTTTTATCCATGTGGCCACAGCAGAGGTAAACAAAGAAACATTGAGAGTGGAGTTGCTAAAGGGAATTAACTGAAAAAATTAAAATATCCAGAAATGCATGGCACATGGAACTATTTATCCCCGTGGATTAAATAAAGGATTCAGTTCAAAATACAAATGTATATCACCTGAAGAAAACTGGAGTGTACAACAGCCGAAACATTATGAATATAACAATCAAGATGAGGACAACAGCCCGAATAATGTAAATAGTGTAAATAGCTTTATTTTCATACTTAAAACATGTACAAAATAATTTTTAAGCAATTAATGGGATTTTCAATATAATTTTTTTTTTTTAATCCTTTCACACAAGCAAGGTAATAAAGCAACTAAGATACATGAGATTACTGAGTTTTAGAAAATATGAGGAAAAAAAAACACTATTAAGGAGAGAGAACAATAAAAGAACAAGAATTAAGAACACAGTAGATAACGATTGACATTGCATTTAAATTTTTGAAGATCAAAGCCACTAGGATGCAAGGGGTTACTGAGTGTTAGAGAATATGACAAAAACTACTATTAATAAGAGAGGACACTAAAAGAACAAGAATTAAGAAGACACGATAACGATTGACATTGCATTTAAATTTTTGAAGATCAAAGTTAACTGGGAAGCAAAAAGCTGGAAGAGAGTTCTACAAACAAGAAATATGAAAGAAAATGATAGCATAGAATTTATGGTTACATCTAGCCATTTCAACTGCAAAATGATGAGAACTAGCTGCCAATCTAATACTATATTTAAATTCATAAAGTTGAGTTACCATAGGGGAAAGTTCAGCAGAACAATTACCCTGAAAGTATTTATAGAAAAGGCACAGAGGAACTACATTATGGTGATGATAAAGTGACTGAAGCCAAAATGCAAGGTCAGGACCAATAACATTGCAGATTCTTCTTTGGATTTTATCAAGAATCTATAAATATATAGCAGGAAGACCAGACCATATGTGGCAGCAATATTCAAAGCAAGAACGAATGGTAAATTTATAAATATGTAAGACAGAGAAAAATTGTCTAGCACGACACAGAGAACCAACTTTTATTGCAGTGGACCTTGCAGTAATTGACTCAATATGTCAGTAGAAAACGCTAACCTGAGAAGATCTCTGAGCAGACATTCCAGTCTTCTAAACATTGAAATTAGAACCTACCAGCCTAGAGACCAAAAGTCTTATTAAAAGGCACATTTTCTTAAATAAGACTTTTGGATTCCATAAGTTTACGAAAATCCAACAAAATTACCAGATACTAATCATGGAAATTTACTAACCTGATCAAAAGCAGGTAATCTTGCTAACTTCAATCAAAAATTTAAAATACCAGTTTTTATCTGTCTATATTTCTGAGATGAGGTATGTACACTATTTACATTGTTCAGACTATCATCCTCATCTTTGTTGCCATATTTATCACGTTTCGGCTGTTGTATGCTCCGGCTCTCTTCAGGTGGTTGGAATGCCAAACTGAACCTCAAGGACACATGGCACAGAGGATAAAGGTGTTAGTTAGATCCAGTGACAGGACCCGAAGTGTGTGAGTTCAATACCTGGTTAAGACGGTGAAGAACTTGAAGAGGGGAATTAACAGGAGATAACTGATAACTGACATCCATTAGACATGGCACATGGAACTAGAACACTCTACCCCACCTAGCAAAATAAAGGGTTCAGTTCAAATTTCCAACCAAGAACTGAAGAAGGCCAAAGCGTACAACAGCCAAAACGTTGTGATAAATATGGCAACAAAGATGAGGATGATAGTTTGAACAATGTAAACCAGTTTTTATACTTTTTTTTAACGCATAAAATATGCTTTTCTAAAAATACTAGTGATGATCTCTTTTTTTTTATTTATTTTTGAAGGTAGCAATGTTAATCATTATTTTTAATTCCTGTTCTTTTATTGTTCATGCTGGTTCCAATCCAAGTAGGAATGGGTATTTCTCAGTGTGCCTATGTACATGAATGTGACACAAGGTTAATTTAAAGTGGGTTTAACAACAATACCATAGAAAAGTTGCCCAAGCCTCTTCAGCACTTCCCCTTTTGGGGACGCCTCAGGTGCCAGGCAATAAACCCAGATCCTCCCTTGAGGCTTGGGCTTAACATTTGAAATTCCCTGACCCCCAAAAGGCCACGAAATGCACAATGAAATTTCACTAGAAATGACTGCGAAAACATCCTCCTCCCCAAATTTATAAACCGATGCTGGGATTTCTTGCTAGCTCATAAGATAGAACCACTTCTGGGTCTCATCAGCCATATTTCTGTTCTTTCTTGTTTTGAAGTCAAAATGCTCCAATCACTTGTCTGTGTTTCTTTTGTGTGTTAACACCATTCTTACTTTGTGAAGCTTTTTGCCTCATTATTGTTGCTTTGCCAGTTCTCTCTACTTAATAGAGTTGTTTTTTTCTTTCTCATATTCACTCACACTCAGTAACTTTTTGCATCTTAGTGGCTTTATTACCTTGCTTGAGATGAAATTTAAAGATAGATTTACTTACATCTGCTGTGTCAAATATCTGCTTTACTTGTAAAATATTTGTGATGTGCCAAGTGTATTTAGTGAACATTCCTAAAGGGAGAGCATCCTTCCGAACAAAACCCGTTGTATAATTGGGTAAGCGCTTCTTTCGGTTACCTGAGGAAATTCTCTGTTGCAAACAGTCAAAGAACACCTGTGGGGCATGGAATACAAGAGGCTCTGGATTACCTAAACAAATCAAAGAGATAAAACATGAATTACTATGTTTAGAGTAAGCAGTGACATGCACATACAGAAAAAAAAATTAAGTATTACATTAATTAATATATCAATTTAAGGCTGTAGATACATTCCTAAAAAATATATAATGCTGAATAAAATACCGCTATAAGAATCATTTTAGTATACTAGAATTTTTTTGCAATACACTGACATGTTAAAATCCTCACAATATTGTTGGAGTTATCGCTAACATTTTTTGTTGAAATTTACAAACTCTATGTTTCATTCAATCTCAAAAACCAATCAATAAAATTTGAATAATCTAATTTGTTTGGAAAAATCCTTTGACAAAAACTCTACTTTGCAGTTTAATAATCTCTTTAATCTAATTTTATAAAACTTCATGGTAAGCTATATTTTTCTTTTTTCCTTTTTAAGAGCAAAGAATAAATTCTTAGGATTTCTTACTCTTGAGCATGCAACATACAACTGGCTATGCATAAATATTTGTCTGGAGCCAGATTCCGACCTTTTGAAGCATTTGGCCTTGTGATTTGTTTATAGTTCTTACAAATGCAGGGCAAACAGGAAACTGGATTAATGTATATATAAAAACTTAAAGTAAAGATATGCAAAAAACAGTACTGCATTTTTATTAAATAAGTATTTATTATTTTAATCATTAAATTGTTTTTAAAATAGAGAGTATTTTGTATGTTAAATAAGAAAAATTAATTTTTTCTAAAATCTTAATGAAAATTTATTGTACTAAGCTATGCACTCTAGTGTGACGATGTAGCCCGCACGTCATTCACTGCATAAATGTGATGATATCCAAGGTCGACTGTGTCTGCATATACACTCGACTCACTATGTTTACAGATCTGTCTCCTTGACAAATGCTTTTCAAGACACTGTTTGGGAAATAGCAACAATACGATTTCTCACTTAACCATGGTATTCTTCCTTCAGCTTCAAAAAGTGGACTGCTATGTTACTAACTTGGAAAGAGGACCCTTACATTCATTTCCTGTGGTTTCAGTGACTGCTAACTCATTCACTGATGGTCCTTCTCTCACTAACCACTGGTCACTTCCCCACTGCTGATCACCTACTGCTGACTTCCTGCCTCTCTCTGCTTATATGGATAATAGCTGGGGGTCCCACCACCCGCTATTCATCCATTTGTGTTCCGGAAAAGGAGACCACCCAAAACTGGATGGGCGATCAAATTTTTTCAAAGGACTCTACTTTTATAATTATCTAAAAACCATTAACAAAATTTTATGTTTGCCAATTCAAAGGCAGGCTGGAGACAGAAATCCTGAAAACTGGCAATTAAGTTGACTCAAAGATGGACTGGAGGTGAAATTCTTAGGAAACGTAGGTAATCACATTGACTTAAAAGGAAAAGAAATTAATCTACTTACTTCCTAAGGATGTGCGAGAAATCATATTGTTACACTAGTAAAACCAATTGTTCTTTGTACACCCTTACCTGTTTTCACTTCTCTCCAAAATTTGGTTTCGATCAGTCAATTTATGGCTATTTTAGAGGGTATGACAGACAGATGGATGGAGTAATGGAAGTCACAAAATTTTATATATAGATTGATTGATTCATTCATTTTCTACAGGCTATCAACCCTTTGCAGGTTAGTTAAAGCCATAAAATAATTTTAGATGGTAAGAATGCTTTTTGATGGAGAGATAATAATGATTATGTGATAGAAGTCTTAGTAATTAACCCATAGATGGGGAGAGAAGAGGTGGATTACTATGTTTTCCAAGAATATTTGCATGTAAGTGAATATAACAAACCCAACTGGAATTGGAACTCGACTCTCCAATTAACAATTATGAGCCATTATCCATTACATCACCCACACATCCAAGCTTACAGCACCTGGTATTCCCAGTTGGGAATATTAGGGAGGGGAATGATCTTAGCAGTTATTTCTAGAGGTTGAAAACAACACTTACCATCAAATTGGTAATGCATTGTTTGGTTGATTCTCTCTCTAAAGCTGCCATCTAGGTACTAACCAGGCTTGACATTCCTTAACTTTGATGATTGTACAGGAACCAGTATTTCAACATAGCAACAGAAACAAGTGTCATAGTCTATGTTTAACAGTGATATAAGAATAAATTAAGGTGATAGACATCACCAAACAGCTGATGGGTAAAAAGAAAAAAAAAAATGGCAAAGCACCCTAGAACACCTAAATTTTATGGTCTCCCTAAAACCCCAAAATCAGGTATCCCAATGCACCTCATCATCTCAGGAATAGACATGTCCACATGCAAACGTGATACACAGGGTGGTTATAGCATTCTGACTTCAAGACAAGAAACAAAAAAAAAAATATGGCAGATGAGACCATGAATTGTCCATTTTTATTGGTTAGGAAGAAATCCCAGCATGCATCTGTAGGATTTGTCTATAAATTTAGGGAGGGGAATGATCATAGCCGTTATTTCTAGAGGTTGAAAACAACACTTACCATCAAATTGGTAATGCATTGTTTGATTGATTCTCTCTGTAACGCTGCCAAGCCACTGATGGAATGTCACGGCAACACTGTTCTCATCAATTTGAACTGTAGCTGCAAATAAAATATGACACACTTTTATTTCAACCACACTAGCAATCAACACACAATAAAAAAATGATATTCCTCAATAATATACTCAGATATCTTTAATCCAACACCCCCATGGTCCGGTAACTCTCATGCCCTAAGAGACTGGTGTTCTTAGAAAATGAAAGTAACCAGCCATTATATAAGCCCCTGATGAGCATCATTGCATGAAACTCTGGAGTTGTTCAATGAAATAAGTCCTTTGAACATTTACTAATTAATTTATAGATTGTTCTTGCTCTAGTAATCTATTAAGCACTTTTTAATTATTCATTAAATTTATTATCCATTAATTATCCATTAAATCAAAATTTCATTTTATGTATTTTGAGTAGATTATTTAGGTATCACCACAGAAAATACAATACCTAAGGTTTAAAATGAATTTTTAAAAATGAAAAATCTTTCTTGAAGCTTTTATTTTAGTTTTAATTTCAAGCTAATAGATTAAATTTAATATTTCCAATAAGCAAAATACTTTGTTGTATTTCAAAAACTAATTTAAATTGAGTGGAAGGTGTTTTTTTTTTGTTTTTTTTTTTTGTTTTTTCTAAAATAGCTGATTAGCACCTGTTTTTGATCATCTTTCAGGAATTTTAGTTGAATTAAAGTATAATTAATCTGATTTTAAACAACTATTATTTACATTAAATTTAAAAAACACAGAAATGCATTAACCTGACAATAACTATTTATTTAAGCTGTTGACATGTTTGACAGCTTGAGGAGAGATAGTTGCTTATCTAATATTGCTCTATGAGGAATTTGCACACAAAAAAAATAATATTGAGATGTATTGGAAAATGGGCCTGCAGTTGACAATATGGCAGTATCATAAGCCATTGAAAACAAATTGTCCTCACTAAATGTTTAAGAATGTGGGTATTATTTTAAGCATGGTCCAAATCAACAAAAAATCTTCATTGATATCAACAGTTCTTTTATAAAATATTGTAGAACTTGCATATTAAATTATAAACAGAGAAAAAAAATATTCCAACACAATTCTCGACAAACAACAAAATTTGTTAAGGGTATCAAATGCCAACATCTATGGCTGCGAAATAAAGAAAAATGGTATTCCTTCACATTTATTACATTTAAACATTGTTACAACGGGTGATGGCAGACTAGGCAGCAAATAAATGCTGAAAATACAGGGCCGTTCTTGTACTATTGGCACCACAGAATGCTGCTGATGAATAATGACTCATGAGAGGATATCCCATGGTTGATTTCCTTGATTCCAGCCTAAGCAGCTCAGCCATCTGAAACAATATGGCTTCCAGGCTGAATATACCACACGATTGCCTCTTTTGGAGTCTCTGCTCACCAATCCGGCATTTCATCTAAGAAACACTTTTCTGAATCCCATTTGACACCACAAAATATCCAATGGCCAGGGTGCCATTGGCTACTGTGATATTTATGATGAAAAAACATTCAAAGATATTTAAAAGGGATTGATATTAATATTTTTAAAAGAAATATATGTAATCATATATAATTTATTTTTATTATTTAATTTTGTTCCCTGAGAATTGAAAATTATTTCAAGGGTTAAACAAGGTTAAAAAATTGAGAAACGCTGCTTTATGTAAAGCCGAAACACATTTTGGATTGTCAGAATAATTCTGTTTTTTGCAAGTGAATATTGTATTAACTATTGTTTGAGAATAACAATGATTTTTGTAGTTGTTGTTGCAATCCGCGACGTCTGACAAAACTTCCTGAACAAAAACACAATATTTTCTTGATACGCCTAAAACCGCAACGACTGATAAACTCCTTCAATTTTCTCAATAATCTTCTTCTGCGCCTCTGCTTTCTCCTTTACACGATTCTCCTTCCACGTTAGAAAAGAGACTCCATTTTTCTAACTGCCCAGACACCGACGTTCAGCATTTTTTATCTCCTTTTCTGCCTTCCTTCATTTGCATGCGTGAATTCACTTTCCGTGGCTTTACGAGACTGTCTGCATGAGGATACGTGACCATTTGCAATACAAGCTTGCTGGGGGCAGCCATGTTTCTTTTTCCAGTCAAAAAGATAAACCTTGTACGCAGAACATATACGCTGCCGTTTGCGATCAGGTGGGAGAATATTTTCGTTCCAATTATCACTACAATTTTTCCAGATACAAGTCCTACTATTTAACCCATGCCTGGGGAGAGAAGATGAAAAACATTTAAGGATATAAAATAACAGTTTATTTTTACACTGTTTAAGCAATGCTGACCTTTGACAGTAATTATTGGTTCTCAGTGTTAATACAATTTACAAAAAGGCCAACTCTGTGTAAATGCTATCAATAAATTAAGCAAACCATTTTTTTTTTTTTACTTTTTATAACAGATCAAGAGTCAGGGTGTATCCATTCCAATGTGGATAAGGAAATTCCTTCAGGGAGAAATAATCTATTAATTCAGAATCAGAACTGCCAGGTTATCAGATTTGCAACATTTTGTTTTTCAATGACCAATTCACTACACTCTAATATACTTTTCTTTCAATCATTTTCTATTTTAGTAAGGTCTCTTCAATGTTTTCAGTGAATTGTAAATCAGTCCATTGAAAATAAGTTTTCATTGTACCAAACAAACATCATTTATTATTATAGAGGTCCAGAAACAAATTTAATTTTTAAAGTTTCTTAAAAGACAAGTATTACACTTGAAATTTGAGTTTGAGTCATAACATTGAATGTCATTCGTCCAAAAATTGGTTTCACTGAAAATGTCAAAATGAATCTTCCCTTCATCAAATGGTTCACATCACTGGAAAAATACAAACGCAGAAAATTAAAGGGAGGTAACTTTTATATATGAATCCATTAACCTGATTGTTGTTTATTCATGATAATGACTGACAAGTCAGTTGGCTTCAGAGAATTGTTTAATGTTGAAATCAGTTAAAGCCAGAAAATTGATTGTTTTTTGTCAGGCAACGAAAATAAAATACAAATAAAAACAATTAAAATATAAATATTAAAATTAATAAATAAATGTAATATGAGTTTTAATATTTATTTAAGCATGTATTCTGGACATGACAAATATTTAAATGGGTTTGTTTTTCATTTTTTTTTTTACTTGTTTTTAAATATCCCTATATTAAGCAACATTATTCCGTGAATGAAGGTGATGAATCTATGTAGAAAAAGGTTATCCATTATTCTAAATAAACTACAAATTCATATATAGGAATAGCAAAAAACACCTTTCAGAAACTAAGCAAAGTATTAACAAGAAAAGTTTGTTAGAAACAAAGAGTGTTGAATTGCTACATAATATCTAATCTTCTATAGTGGCAGTGAATGCTGGACAATCTCCTCAAAGACAAAGAAGAGATTTGAAGCAACAAAGATGGAGACCTACTAATGAATTTTAACAATTCCATGGGCAGAACATGTGAGCAATGAGGAAGTTTTAAGGAAAACAGGAAATGCCAGGAAACTGATACTTACAATCAGAAAGAGATAGCTGAAATTTTGGGGATACATAATGAGGAAAGAGGATCTAGAGAATTTAACACTCACAGGACATACAGAAGGCTGGTAATGGAAAATAGCAAGTAACCTACTTGATGAGTTTTATGCAAATGGATGGTAGAACAAGGACAAAGAGAAATGGTAATCAGTCAAGAGTTAATTTGAAAAACAAAAAAGATAGGAAGTTGTGGAGCTCTATGATCCCCTACATTTGGGAGGGAGGTGACTTTTTTTTTATCATTTCACCCCAAGTTGGACAGGAATGCCACTAGTATGCAGGGAGTTACAGAAAATGAAAGTGAAAGAGAAGACTGAGAATAGGGTGGATTGAGGAAAAGACAAAAATTGAATGGGATTCAAGGAGACAGAAGATGGCAGTTGACATTGCATTTAAATTTTTGAAGATTGTAGTTATCAGAGAAGCAAGTAAACAGAAGGGAGTTCCACAAGTGGAAAGTGCGAGAAAAGAAAATGTTGAAATAGAAGAGGTGGTTGCATTTAGCTATTTCAATAGTTTAGATGCCAATTTAGTAACACATTTTAAATATATGTAGTCAGGGCTCTAGGGAAAAAAGTAGTTGCCATGAAAATATTTGTAGAAAAGACAGAAGGAAGTCATGTGACGTCGGTGAGAAAGTGACTGAAGTCGAGATTCTAAGGATCAATTACTTTACATACCCTTCTTCAGATTTTACCAAAAATCTCAAGATGAACAGCAGAAGCATCAGACCAAATATGGCAAAAGCATTGAATGCACGGGTGAATGGTAGATTTATAAATGTGCAAGATGGATTCTGATGAGAAAGATTTTCTGGGGCAACACAGTGACCTACCAGTAGATGTAGCTATTGATTCGATGTAGTCGCTCCACTTCAAGTCAATGGAAAACATGAGGCCAAGTTGGCCATATAAAAGAAGAAGAATACTAAAATGTATATAAAACATCTTGCTCCCACTATCAACCTCACCTTATTCAACAGTGGGAATGGTGTGTTGAAAGTTTTTTTAAAAAATAGAAAGACGTCCACTCAAATTCAAGCTGCACTCAACACATGAAGCTTGGAATAAACACTCATTAACTAGTATTCAAAACACCAAAATGGTTGCTCATATCTCTTTATTTAGCTCATTTCAACATTATATATAGACTTAAATAGAGAGGATGTCATTTTACCTTTAGTAGACCCTTTCAGCCAACACTTTATCAAAAGGAGAATGTTGGCACATAGAACAAAATAATCAATGACACACTTGTAAATAGAGAGTGAGGAGGGAAAATTGGAACATGATTAAAATAGATTTTAATTGTAAATAATTCCACTTGGTCCACCATCTTAGAGTTTTTGAGGCTGTGTATATTAAATTTTATCAGCCAATGCTATGTAAGAAAAAGGAACACTTCATTTGTCCCTTACATTTGATCAAGGAAATATGAGAAATTTTTTCTTCTTTTATACTCTTTTTGGAACCTTTTATTTTTAGTTGTCAATTTGTTTACAATTAAAATCTGTTTTAATCGTGTCCCAATTTTTCCCTCCTCATTCGCTATTTTCAAGTGTGTCATTGATTATTTACTTCTATTCGCCAATGTTCAACTTTAATAAAGTGTTGGCCGAAAGGGTCTCCCAAAGGTAAAATGACATCCTCTCTATTTAAGTCTATTTTCTTCTTCTGTGAGTAAATATATAGAGTAACTGTCTATATTTCTGAGATGACGTATTAGGTACACTATTTACATTACTCAGACTATTGTCCTCATCTTTATTGCCATGTTTATCACAACATTTCATCTATTGTATGCTCCGGACTTCTTCAGGTGGTTAGAATGTCAAACTGAACCCTTTATTTCGCTCATTGGAGTAGACCAAGCATAGAAATGAATACAATATGGGAACCAGTAATAAGGAGTGCCAGAGAAAAGTGATAATAACAACAAAAATTGCAATATGAGCTCCGGTAAAAAACATGCAATGAAAACAGCAAAAATTGCAATATGAACACTTGTAAAAAATGGTTGCTGAATTTATTAGGTTTATAATACCCAGAAATTCACACACACATGTCCTCAAGCATAGTGGATAAAGGCGTTAGATGGTTCCAGTGACAGGACCCAAAGAGTGTGAGTTCAATAAGACAGTGGAGAACTTTGAGAGGGGAATTAACAGGAGATAACTGACATCCATTAGACATGGCATGTGGAACTAAAATAGTCTACTCCAGTGAGCGAAATAAATTCGAAATTCGACATTCCAACCACCTGAAGAAGGCCAGAACATACAACAGCAGAAACGTTGTGATAAACATAACAATAAAGATGAGGACAATAGTCCAAATAATGTAAATAGTGTATATATATATATATATATATATATATATAATTATTATTATAAGAGATTATAATAAAAACATGTAGAAATCATTACACAAAAGCTTTCATGTTTCAATACTATGATTGTACTTCTTCAAGAAATGGTAAGTAATTTAATCACCAGTTACTTACCATCACCTGAAGAAGTACAATCATTGCGCTGAAACATGAAAACTTTTGTGCAGCGATTTCAACATGTTTTTATTATAATCTCTTATAATAAAAATAATAATAATATATTGCTCTACTTTGTCTTGAGCACTTTTATAAAAGTAAATGCTATGAACAGCTGATTTTTACTCCATATGTTTGTTCTCTCATTTAGATATATATATATATATATATATGATTAATACAAATAAAATTTGTCATTAGCTGTTAGATGTTATATTCAGCATTTCTATTCTGAAGTTTCATAGATGAACCTTTGTGTAATTGTTTGATTCACTCATCAAGAGGGTATCAAGCAAATGTCTATCAATTTTCTCATTTTCATTATTTTTATACTAACTTGAAAAAAAAAATAAAATGCAATTTTAATTTTTTTTTTGTGTATTTGTGTGTAGACCTTACATGTGATGTTTGTGTACATGTGTGTATAGATCTATAAATGTGTGTGTACAGCTATACATGTGTGTAGACCTATACATGTGTGTGTGTAGACCTGTACACGTGTGTGTGTAGACCTGTACATGTGTGTATATGCACATTTGTAGCATGTTGTGTCTATTTCTTCTTTTCCTATTTCACTTGTCTCGTTATTCTCTCTTTGTTATCCTTTTTCTTTATCTTTCATCTCTGAGCGTCAAAAGATAATCTAACAAATTTATTTCCGGGGTCAGAGACAACTTAAAATTAGGCTAATATTCTAGAATACTGGAGGTTTTTAAAAATTTTCAAAACATAGGTGTATTCTGATTTTTTCAAAATTTTTTCTTTAAATAATTATTATTTATTTTTATTCCAGATAAAATATATATATATTATGATAAATAAATGAAAATGCTAAGGTGTTCATCTCCAATTTGTACCCAGTTCCTACATAACGTTTAGAGTCCTGATAGGGCAAGAAAGCACCATGTTACCATGTTCACACCATCACAGTTATGTAAGATTTCAAATATCTAAGGTAGCAGTGAATGTGTCAAATATCTGATTGGGTATCTATTTAGAATAGAAGTTAACAAGTCTGGTCTATATAAGTGCTCCATTTTGATCACCCTGTGCTAGACTAAGCTAAGTATGTATAGACATTAAATTATAAATTAAATAAATGTTTTTACACACTGCATTAATAAAAAAATAATTAAAATAAGGAACTTTGAGAAGAAACAAGCAGACGACATTGTTGGAAAATATCGACAACTGGGGGCAGAGAGATGTTTTAATTCTAAAGGTTGCAATAAAAGAGATTTGCACTTACCTGATTTTTTGGGCGGAGTATTGGTCTTGGCAGGCTGCTGTGGTGGCTGGGCTGTCTGTTTCACGGGACTAGATTTTCGTGTGGTCACTCCTCCTTCTTGCAATGTCAAGAGGGCACTGCTGGCTTGCACTGATAAGGAGGAAAAACACAGGATGTCAAGTTAACATAGAGCTCTGACCATTACAACAATAGAAAAGGTTCTTTTTATAAAACTTAACATCTTTTTTTAAACATTGTTATAATGTATACCATATTTGATGGTATATAACACCAAACAAAAAATTTTTAAAATATCTCTCACAATATATAAGCAAAGTTGAGGTCTATGGCAACTTAAAGTTTACCTAGATGCTGTAGATGACTAGTACTTGTACCTAACTTAACTTGTAATATTAAATGCAAATGGAGTTAAGTCTTATATACAAAGTTTTGGTATCTGGTAGCCTAATTGGAACAACTTAAATAAATTGGTCCATCTATTAAAAAAAATATGAAAAAATGTTTTTTGTTTTTTTTTCCAAATAAGTTTTGCAGATTAGCATTTTTTAGACCTTACTTCAGCTGCAATACTTGTCAGAATGAAAAAATATTGAATTTTTATCAGTTTAGAAAGGTCGCCTGTTTATAATATCAGTATAGTGTAAAATTGAACTGAACCCTTTATTTCACTCACTGGGGTAGACTTCTAGTTCCACGTGTCATGTCTAATGGATGTCAGTTATCAGTTATCTCCTGTTAATTCCCCTCTCCAAGTTCTCCACCACCTTAACCAGGTATTGAACTTACACTCTTTGGGTCCTGTCACTGGATCTAACTAATGCCTTTATCCACTGTGCCATGTGTCCTTGAGGACCCAAAGAGTGTGAGTTCAATACCTGGTTAAGGTGGTGGAGAACTTGGAGGTAAATTAACAGGAGATAACTGACATCCATTAGACATGGCATGTGGAACTAGAAGTCTACCCCAGTGAGTGAAATAAAGGGTTCAGTTTGATATTCCAACCACTTGAAGAAGGCCAGAGCATACAACAGCCGAAACATTGTAATAAATATGGCAACAAAGATGAGGGCAATAGTCTGAATAATGTAAATAGTGTACATAATACCTCATCTCAGAAATATACACAGATAGTGTAAAAGTGATCACTAATTTTTAGAGAGTTACTGGACATAGCTGTTTTGCATACAAAAAAAAAAAAACATATTTTTGCGGAGTGGGATACAAAAAGATTTATTTTATATAAAGAACAAACAGACATATACAAATTAAGGAACAAAAATTTAAATATATTAACAAAATTATGTATCCGTTTATTCTTCATTTAAGATAAATAATTATTAATCTCTAATGTTTATGCATGTGCTTCCAAAAAAATCCCATACCAAAAAAATTTTCCAAAAAGATTTTTAAAAATATTTTTTTTAAATTAAAAAAAAGAAAAAAAAAAAAAAGGTAGAAAACATTCAGAAAATTTAAAAACCAAAAGCTACATATTAGTGATGTTAGCATGGTTTCAAATTTGACATTTGTAAATAACAGTGACATGACTGAGCATAAGGTTAATAATGCTGTAAAAATCAGGGATCAATTGGACATTGCATAAATATTATAAAAGGACCCCCTATTCTTAATAAAAAAAAAATTTTTTTTAAAAAAACTCAACATTTTTCAATTCTGACAAATATTGTGACATTTTTTTTAATCATTTCAGCCCAAGCAAGGCAATAAAGCCACTAAGATGCAAGGGATTACTGGGTGTGAAAGAATATAAGAAAAGTAAAACATTAAGGAGAGAGAACAATAAAACAAGAATTAAGACAGAAAATAACAATTAACATTGCATTTAAATTTTTCAAGATCAAAGTTGACTGGAAAGCAAGAATCCCAAAGAGAATTCCACAGGTGAGAAGTGTGAGAGAAGAAACTGTTAGCATAGAACTTAGTTACATTTAGCTATTTCAAATGTAAAATGAAATCTTGCCACCAAATTCATAAAGTATAGGCAACATAGAGGAAAGTAATATTTATTTTGTATAAAATACAAAAATGTGGCACAAGGTCAAAAGGAGGGATAGGAGAAAGCTGGTCTTCTTCTGTCTTATAATTAAACTTAACTGGCCAAAATTACTGACCCAAACATATCATAGTATTCCTTAGACCAAAACAAAACATTCTTATTTACCATTCTTACTACAGCCACCATAATACCTCAAAGTCTCTATGAAGTCCTAACTAGTCCCTATATGTACAATGTTTTGTTCGTGCAGGAGGGTAATAAAAAAAAACAACAATTTAAAAATCTAACCCCAGTGTGTATTTACCATAGAAGAAAGTTCATCAGAACAATTACCATGAAAATATTTACAGAAAAGGAATAGGGAAGCTATATTACAGAGGTGGAAATGTGACTGAAGATGAGATGCCAGGCCACTACCAATAACATTGCAGATTCTTCTTTGGATTCTGACAATTGTCATTGCTTGAGGAAAGTCTAATGAATGCTAATCTAGAAAAATTATCCCTATTTTTTGAGAGGACCACTCTATTTAAGTAGTGCAACCTAATGTTTACCAAAATGTTGTAAGTGACCAGTACTTATACCAAGCCTAACTTCATAATACTGTAATATTAAATGTAAACACAAAAGCCTGGTGTATAAAGTTTAGGTTTCAGGAGACTAATGCCAAAAACTACAAGTACCTACTTACACCAATGATCACTTCATAATACTGTTATATAAAAATATAGATAGAGGACTATTCTGTATGTGAAGTTGAGGTATCTTTTAGGGTTAATCTTTATCCAGAAAGTATAGATTACCAGAACTTGTACCTAGCATAACATCATAATACTGTAACATTAAATATAAATTACAGGAGGGTCTTAGATGTGTAGTTGGGGTATTTGGCCATTGGGCTAGACTACGCCTAGCCCTTGGGAGATGGGTTTGGTCAGGTGACCAAGGAGGATAAGGCTCAAGTGGAATTTCAAGGAAGTTGGAGAAATTTCCACACTCCTTGGGCAGTGATGGTGAAAGGCACTCACACAAAGCAGGAAGGAGAAGGCCCAGGTAGAATTCCAAGGAGGGAGGAGGGGCTCCTGCATATTTGGACATTTACTGGTAGAGCTCTGATTAATAGTTTGGGGAGCACTGACATACCCAGAGCACATCATGCCCCCACCTCAGCCTTTGCACATACGTCCATAAAAACAAAATGCCATGTAGATGCAGAGACAGAAACAGTGGAGACATCACGGACAGACTATAGAGAGAGCAGAGAACCACCGCTTCACCTGATCTCATGTGATTTGCCGCCCTGAAGAAAAAGCCTCTGACTTAAAGCCTTGTTCCAGAAGTCTCATTCCCAAATCATAACAACAGTGTGTCACGATAATCGGGAAAGGTTGATAATTATTGCATGGAGAGTATAGCCCTGCTTAAGTCATCAATGACTGTACCATCAACTTTGTATCAAGGAAGTGCATATAAATACTTTTTTTTTTCTTTTACCCAATTTATTTTTTTTTCTTCTTTTGTGTAGACTTTACTCTGACCGGACCAAACCAAATCATTGATTCCAACTGATCATTTGGACCAAGCCAGTCTTGCAATCAATCAATCACAACATAGGGCAAGACAAGACTTGGACTGAAGCGATCACCTCTACAATCAGCCAAGGGGATCGAACTTGAATATGGAGCAGCCGGGGTAGACATCATAATGTTGTCTTTTTAACAGACATGTGTGATGAAAAGTCGATAATTACTGAAAAGGTCTCAGCTAAATCCGCATTCCAATATCTGACCGAATGAGCAAACATCAGCATTTCTTTTTATACATTTTTAAAAATAGTGCCAACAACTTACATCGTGTATCATCTTTTCGTTTCTTTTTTGCAGAAGGCCCTAAAAGGTCTTCCCCGGATACAATAACTTCAACTGCAGTAGTATCTGCTGGAGTTACACTTCCTTCAGATGATTGTTGGTAGATTGTTATCAAATTATGTTCTGGTACAGGAGTAGCTGAAAAGAAAACAGAACAAATATTTTAAAATGCTTGCTTGAGAACTGAATAAAGAATTCTATTAATAAATGACTGCTTCAATAATCAGTGTGTTGAGTTAACCAAAAGGATTTGTTTTAATTATTTCACCCCGAATAAGGCAATAAAGCCACTAAGATGCAAGAGTGAAAGAATCTGAGAAAAATCATTATTAGGGAGAGAGGACAATAAAATAACAGGAATTGAGGATATAGATGATGATTGACATTGCATTTAGATTTTTGAAGATCAAATTTGATTGGAAGGCAAGAAGCCGGAAGAGATTACCACAAGTGAGAAGTGTGAGAGAAGAAACTTTTGGAACTGTCCTCCTTGGCAACACCAATTTTATGATTCTGGAAATAAAAAGTGCATTTTATTTACTGGAATCAAAATAGCACAGAAATCTCAATCACTATTCAAGAATTTCTTATATTTCCTTTGTCCAAATTTGGCTGGGGACAATGGGTATTAATAAATTAGCTTAAAAGGTGCCCTATCAGGCGACATTTAAGCTAGCTCACACTGAGGGCTCTTTTTTTTACAAAAATGTTCAACCTGTACAAGGCCCAAGAGCCATTCAAGGTAGAGGGTGAGTGAGTAAGAGGTAAATTTTGTGAGGATATGTGAAGAATTTAACCCTAAAGTTAGCATAGAACTTACAGTTAGATTTAGTGTTATCTTCTCTTTTTTGGTCATTAGAGGACATGAGAAGAGTTTATTTTGAATTTCATTAAAATTAATGTCACATGATTATTCTGTTGTTAAATAATAGTCTATTATTTTTTAAAGAATTGTATTTTCCTCTGATTTCTTCATTTTGACCTTAAGATCAGATGGTAGACAAAACAAAGGAAGTCCTTTTTGATTGGTTAAAACTAGCATGGGAAGGTTAGAGAGATAGAAAGTAATTTCAGTAAGCTTTTACATATCAAAAAGATAAGACATGGTTATTTTGTGCCCCAGGGAACTTGCTCTCCAGTGGGGGTGATAAAGCGACTCCACTACCTAGTTAAAAATGCACACATTGACATGTTTAATAAAGTAGTAAGTAAAAATCCCTTTTATTGAAGTTCTCACTTCATCTCCAAACTAAAAGAACAACTAGCGATCTAGTGTTTTTTTTTTTTTATTTCTAATATTCTCTCAAATACAATAATCCTTTGTGTCATAGTGGCTTTATTGCCTTGCTTGGAGTAAAATGAATAAAAAAATACAAAAAAAAAGGATTATTTACATTATTCGGACTATTGACCTCATCTTTTTCGCCATATCTATCACATTTTAAACCGTTGTACACTCCGGCCTTCTTCAGGTGGTTGGAATGTCAACCAAACCCTTTATTTACACTCACTGGGGTAGACTGTTTCTAGTTCCACGTGCCATGTTTAATGGATGTCAATTATCAGTTATCTCCTGTTAATTTCCCTCTGAAAGTTCTCCACTGCCTTAACCGGGTATTGAACTCACACTCTTTGGGTCCTGTCACTGGATCTCACCAACGCCTTTATCCACTGTGCCATGTGTCCTTGAGTCTACCCCAGTGAGTGAAATAAAGGGTTCGGTTCGACATTCCAACCACCTGAAGAAGGCCAGAGTGTACAACGGACGAAACGTTGTGATAGATATGACGAAAAAGATGAGGACAATAGTCCGAATAATGTAAATAATGTACATAATACCTCATCTCAGAAATATAGACAGACAAAAAGAAGGATGTTTTCTCACCGAGTGTATATAAGCTCTACAGCAAATTGATCCTAGGAGATCTAGAAGTCCTACCAGGATTTATGATTGGCAGGCATAATCTTAACATCAAATATGCAGATAACATTAGGTTGATGGCAGACTAAGAAAGAAAAACTAAAAGAACTATTAGACAAGGTAGTAAAAGAAAGCAAGAAGTAAGGACTAACCATTAGCCATTATACGATCACTGAAGTTAAACAACATTGGGCCTGGTCAGTCCAGTACATATATACATTTAATAAATTGTGTATTTGGGCAGCAATCCTAGTTTTAAAACAAGTTTTTTTTTCTGAATGTTGTAGACAGTCTGTTTCATGCTTGAATGAAATCTTCGGGCCTCATTGTGTTCAAGCTCTGGCCTGAAGATTGCATTGAAACCTGAAACAGACTAACATCGCTTGGCGTGGACCTAAGTGTCTACTTTCACACATGTGTGTGTGTGTGTGTGTGTGCGAGTTGGCTGCTGACTCCTATACGGGTCTTGTTTTTTGTTCTGTGGTGTGACATGTGACCCTCCTTCCCAGCAGAAAAGCTAGTGGGGGAGTTGGATTAAATGGCAATCACTCAACTGTGCAGCAGGATGTACTGGATTACATGTTACTAGCAGTAGGCCTAAACCTGACCTGACCTTCAAAAATTTAAATGCAACACTAATCACCATCTACTGTCTTCCTGAATCCAGGTTTTTATTGTCCTTTCTCCTCAATAACAATTTCATTCATTCTCAGTAACCTCTAGCATCTTTGTGTCTTTATCACCTTGCTTGGGGTGAAATGATTCTTTCTTTAAACTTACCTGCTGAATCAATGTTAATATAATATGCAAATTCTTCAGCAAGTTTTTCATCACTAGCAAATGCACAGATGCAAGCATAAAAATGAACACATCTTTTGGGACTGTCCTCCTTGGCAACACCAATTTTATGATTCTGGAAATAAAAAGAGCATTTTATTTACTGGAATCAAAATAGCACAGAAATCTCAATCACTATTAAAGAATTTCTTATATTTCCTTTGTCCAATTTTGGCTGGGGACAATGTGTATTAATAAATTAGCTTAAAAGGTGCCCTATCAGGCGACATTTAAGCTAGCTCACACTGAGGGCTCTTTTTTACAAAAATGTTCAACCTGTACAAGGCCCAAGAGCTATTCAAGGTAGAGGGTGATTGAGTAAGAGGCAAATTTTATGAGGATATGTGGAGAATTTAACCCTAAAGTTGAACAGGTTAAGAGTGTATAAAATCTTAAAAGCATTACTTTTGAACTGTTATGTTTGGAGTTGAATTACTGAAATGTTATCGCAAATACTCGCCTGTACACTCAAATCATTTTTTGCATTTCACCCCCACTCCCATTTTCAAGCACACCGACATAATGGCTGAGCCATCACTGCCCCTTACATCTTAGTAAGAAGTCAGCAAAAGACCAAATGAAGAGACTTCAGGAAACATCTTTTGACAGTCGGTTCCACAAAGCAGTGCTTTATGGGGTACAAGCTACTTGAGTGGAACTTACCTCTCACCAACAGAATACAAAAGGAATAAGAATGGTTTGCTACAATGTGCATGGTATGGCAGGTCTTAGCCGTGAAGGTCATATCTCCTTTTTTGTGCCTGTGCACAAGACATCTCTTCCCCCTTTGTGCAAGTCATCTCTCACCCTTTATGGTTGTGTGCAAGACGTTTCTCTTAAAAACTCTTTAATCTATATCAGTGATTCTCAAACTTTTTTTACCCATGGACCACTTTTAGTTTTAATATTTGTTTTTTGGTGGGCACCCATGATTATTCAATGAAAAAAAAAAGATTATTTTATTTTTTACTAATAGATAAGTATAAGAATAAACTTATCTATTAGTAAAAAATAAAATAAGCTTTTTTGTAAACTTTAGAAATAGTAAATGTATTTGCTTTATTTTGAAGTAAAACTAATTTAATGAAAATAAACTTGTATTCAGCAACTAAATTCTATGGAGCATTTATGTACACTAGTAAAATAACTCATAATAAGCCATTTTAAAATGGACCTCTCTGGACCTCGGTAATGTTACATGGACCCTGGTTGAATACCACTGATCTAAATGAATATTGCTTGCTACATGGGATCAGACATTCAGTGAATATGGTTTACAAAATGTGATCTGGCATATTAATGTGTTGTATCCTTAAAGAAGGTTACAAACAGACAAAGGTGGTACTTGAGTGAAAGGAACAGCAACACAGTTGTAGATGAAAGAAAGAGGGGTTTATTGTAAAAGAGAATACACTACTGAAAGACAGGGTATTGGTTAGCAAGCTAGTAATTCCCAAAGCAAGTCTGCCAGGTATATCCTATGCTTACTGATATAGTTGGTCCACATATGTGATAAGGAGTGTGGGACATTCCATTACAACATAATGCATACTGCTTGCTACACGTGGTATATGACACAAAGAATAGTTTGGTGCATGTTGCATACTGCACAATGAATAATGCTTGATATGGGTGATCTGATGCACAATCAATACTGGCTAATGCAGGATATGTTGCACAATACAGTTTGCTACATGTGTCATGTCACAGAATGTCTTGCTAGATAATGTCTAATATATTAAACAAGGTTACTAGATTTTAACTAATTTCAACTTCATATTTACAGATTGCGATATCTATCAGAGAGATGAAATTAAAATTTTGATTATTTCACTATCCCGAAATTTTAACACATCAGCAGATAACTATTAATGCCAACAACTGAGTACAAATAGTTATTAATTAATAAAATTAGTAATTAATGTATAATATTATCCATAACTACATGTACAAGAATGTTGTTTGTGATAAAAGTTAAAAAATAACATTAAATACATAAAAATTGCATATATTATCAAAAATTCCTTTTTCTACAATATAGCTATTTGTGCTATATTATAATGCTTATTGCCTTAACAATAATAATGCTGAATAAATTTTTTTTTAAACATTAAAGTATATTTAAACACATCTTTTACAGATGTTAAAATCTGTTAAATTGAAATTAGTTAAAATCAAGTTTTTAAAACAATAAAATTTTTATGCTTAATGTGAATTACATTTTGTTTCACAAATGTAAATTTTTTTTCTTAAAATCCTTTTTCTGATAACACAAATTTATCAGAAAAATATGCCAAAATATTTTTTCAAATTATTCTCTCTCTCTTATATACCTAGACATCATCACAACATCCAAAAATTAGACCACTTTCACCAGCAAAAGCTTCATTCAATCTTGAACATCAAATGGAATTACTATATGACCAAAACCAAAGTCCTGGAAAGAGCCAACAATCAAAGCATTGAATCACTGATCATTAAACACCGTCTTTGATGGTCAGGACATGTAGTAAGAATGGAAGAGCCAAGGTTTCCACATCAAGTCTTATTCAGTGAGCTGACTTCAGGGAAATGACCACAGGGTTTCCCTCTTTGAAGATACAAGAACCAACTCAAAACAAAACTGAAAGCCGCAGGAACCTAAATCATTTGAAATGCAAGCACAAGACCGTACCAACTGGCAATGTTCCATCACCATCAGAAACAAAAACTTCAAAAGTGACCAGAAGAGAAAAGGAAGAAGTCAAATGATAAGAGAGAAAGGCTCAGCAAAATCAACCTTGTCCTCCACCAACATTACTATGCAGTCAGTGGCATCAGCTCTTCCATGTAAGAATTGGTCTACTTAGTCATCAACACCATCATCATAAAGGAGGCAATCAGAAAAGAAAAAAATTAAATTCTTGGATACAAGATAAAGCCACCCCTGACAACAACTATATATATATATATATATATATATATATATTAGTTTTTTAAAAAACTTTCAGTCTGAAAGGATGAATATAACCACATTCATTAAATAAATTATAACCAATATGGATTTTTAAGGTGTTTTCTTAATTTATCATTATATATTGGTCTGTAAGCAAGCTCTCATTGGATTAATGTCCTCTTTGGAATTATCCCTACCAATTACAAATTGGTAGGGATAACTTCACTCTTCAGCAATGTTTATGGTTTTAAAAAAGTGATGATTAGTATTGCAATAAAACCTAAATATATAGTTAAAGTGAATTTATAAATTTCTTTTTGTTCTTGAGAATTTACAACAATGCTAACCCTGAAACTAAATTATATATATATATATTATTTTTCATTAGTCAAGTTTGCTTTTATTTGTTTTTTAATACGGTAGTAGCAGTAGCAACAGCTGCCACATAAGTTACCTCCCTTTGGTATTTTTTATGACATCATAAAATTAGTTTATGAACTTTTACCAAACAATTTTTGTATTCTTTTGAATATTTACTATACAGGTGGGCGGTGGAAAATTTTTCCATGTGAAAGTGGGGGATGATGCAAAAAAGGTTAGGAACCTCTAGTCTAAAGGAAGGATACTCAATTGTAAACCATCAGATAAGTTAAATTAGAAAAGACGAAGGAAGAAAGTTAATGCACTTATATAAATGTGTTAATTTTTTTAAATTCTTAATTTTATTAACAATGTTAAAGAAAAATATTGTTCTTTTATACAAATGGGTTATTTTTTTCTTTTTAAGTCATTTCACCCCAAGTAAGGCAGTAAAGCCACAAAGACATGAGGGGTTACAGAGTATGAAAAACTCTGAAAAAAAGAAAAGAAAAACATTATTAAAAAGAGAATCCAATAAAAGAACAAGAATTAAGAAGATAGAAGATGACAACACTGCATTTAAATTTTTGAAGATCAAATTTGACTGGAAAGTAAGACACCAGAAGAGAGTTCCACAAGCATGAAGGGCAAGAGAAGAAACTCTTAGCATAGAACTTACGGCTACATCGAACTATTCATTATGTTATTGACGAACTTAAAAAAGATATTGTTCACTTTAGATTTTACCAATTTCTCAATACACTGTCACCAAACCTTTCTCATTATATAAATTCTTGTAGGCATTCATTTAAAAAATGAACGCATTAAAAACTCAGTATAAATAGCTAGCAATGGGTCCCCCACAGAGGAAGAATGACTCAGGTTCTAATGTCTACTGATCTTAAACATCCTCGCAAGTAATCAAGGCTTACAGCCACACCACGTTAAAACACCAGTGATAGTACAGGAATTACAACTTACATAGCAGTTGTTTAGCTAATGTCCGAGACGGCTTGGTACCTTATACAGTGACACCAATCTACTGATCATTACAGTTTCAATAGTGTCTTTCAAAAACAAATCTGGCTATTTTTTTTCTAAGCTTCTTATTAAATGTCATATACTGGAAGAATTCTCAAGAGTGTCCAACTTATTACAACAACATATTGAAACACCAGTTCCTTTATGATCACCAAAGTGAAGCAACGTCAAGCCTGGTCAGTAACTAAATGGGTAACTGCTTGAGAATACCAGGTATTGTAAGTCTGGATGTGCAGGTGGTGTAATGCTTGGAATTGTTAATTAGAGGGCTGAGTTCCAATTCCATTCAGGTTTGTTATATTGATTTACGCATAAATACCATTGGGAAAGTTACAAATCCACTTCTCCTCCTCCTAAAATCCAGTTACCATAAATAATATCACCTGCTGAATTATTTTAAAATTATTATTAAGTGAGGTGTTCGTAAGAGGTTGGGGTAGTTATTATTATTATGACACAAATCAGAGAAGGTGATCAAAAATGAGCAAATCAAGATTATGGGATTTCAACATCCAAACAGACTGTATCCTTGAGGCCAGTGAAGCCAGCATCAGTGTCGTAGAAAAAAGAAAAGAAAATGTTTCCCCTTCAATGTGGTTGGTTCCTGGTGGCCATAATCTGAAGGTCAAAGAAATTGAAAAGCTTAAAATTTACACTGACCCCCAGATCAAGATTGCCAGAATGGTATTGTTGGTAATTTTACAATAAATATGTATTATTGTTGTTTTTTTATATAAAAATGTATTTTTATTTTCATAATGTTTTGTTTTTGTTTGGGAGTTCACTATTTGCCCTTAGCTGGGACCCTAACAGGTGCTACCACCCAAGGTATGGGTGGACCTGGGAACAATAGCAATTAATAGCAATTCCATGCTCCTTAAAACCTTCAATCACCTGATCAGAGGCCTTGTTGCTGGGTGTAGTTTATCGTCATATCCAGGATTACCTTAATAAATAATCCAATTTGTGCCTTGTCTTTCATCAGAGAATTTTTCACCATAATTAGCAGAGTGTATTCCAATTTCCATTTGAGAGTTCCCCAGACCAATTGTAGATTTCTTTTACTTTATATTATACAGGAAATATGGCCTAATTAAAATTATCAATTGGTATACAAATGGAAATTGTTTGAAAAACAAGTATTTTTGCTTTCTCAGTTCTGCTTGCATTCAAATAAGATGAATTTGCAATTAGAACTGTGATGATAAAAAAAGGCTTTGACTACCATTTACCAGACACATGATTCTGGAGATAAACAAGAGACTGAATAAAACAATTGAGAAAATGGATTAAGCCTAACTGACTTTTAAAATAATGATGCAAACTTATCACAAAATTTTGACAAGTACCCTTCAGACCTCATTGAACAATTAGATGACCATAATTAAACTATTGTTACTAATCTATCTACTGCTGTCAACTAGTTGAATATTATTGCTTATTTAATTTGGATCTAGCAGTATAATAGGGAAGGTTATCTTATTTGAATTATTAGTTACTATTATGTTTTCGATGAATTCATTCTTTGCCACTGTAATTATCAACACTGTACGTGTTTTAGCAATTCTATTAAGTCAACTGCTATATTCAAGTTGTTGTCTTCTTCCGGGACTGGTAAACAGTAGTGAAGCTAATTTTTTAAACATATTTTAAAATGCCTTGAAAGATACACTATTTACATTATTCGGACTATTGTCCTAATCTTTGTTGACATATTTATTACAACGTTTCAGCCGTTGTATGCTCCGGCCTTCTTCAGGTGGTTGGAATGTCGAACTGAACTTATTTAACATGATAAGTGACATCCATTAGACATGGCACGTGGAACTAGAACAGTCTACCACAGTGAGCAAAATAAAGGGTTCAGTTCAACATTCCAACTGCCTGAAGAAGGCCAGAGCATTTAATGGCCGAAACTTTGTAATAAATATGGCGACAAAGATGAGGACAATAGTCCAAATAATGTAAATAGTGCACATAATACCTCATCTCAGGAATATAGACAGAGCCTTGAAAGATATTGTGGGTAACATAAATTAGTTGTAATTAGGTTAAATACAACTGTTGTACATGTCTAATATCAATTCCATTTAGTCAACTGTTTTATTAATGTCACTATCTTCCTTCATGAACATAGGGAACAGTTAAGGTTATTCAAGCAAAAAAATAAAAATAAAAAGCAGCACTTGTACCTATAACTTACCTTAAATGCTTTACAGCTACACTGGAATTTGTATTCTGGCTGTGACCGATTTCGAGTGGTTTCAAAAAATGCAAAATGCAAAAAACCCAATGGTTGCTTCTGACTAGCCTTGCATTTAACCACCATTATGTTCTTAGTCACTCGTTGGACAAGTGGGCCGGTAATCTCCGTGGCCATAATCCAAATCTCTTGCTTTGTCTCATTGGTTACCTGAAGAGAGTTCAATGCAGAGTTTTTAAGGATAAGAGGCATAGCCTCTTGCTCACATTCAATAGCCGCCTTAATGTGTAAACATGTTTGGTCTGTCAGGCTAATCTGTGTGGTCCGACTGCAGCTGTCAACATAACAGCGAGATGCCTGTGATAAAACGCTTGGGCTGACCTCAGAGGCTGGATTGCCATCAATGTCCTGCACAAAAGGCAGCTGAACAAAGCCCCTATAGTCTGGTCCTCGGTCGCGGAGTCTGACTGAAAAAACCTGTTCGGTAGAACCAGTGATGATCTTCACTGCATCAGCACTATGGCCACGTTTCCGTTCTTTTTCTTTAAACACGACATCGCAGGACTTGTTCTTACAGCTAATGCCTCGTGTCCCATTGTACGTTCCACATTTCGGGCACTTACGAACACCACGCAAAGTAGGCTTGCCAAGGTCTCCAAAAAGAGCCTTGAATTTATCGGGCGTAGTCATGGCGAGTCATGTAGACACACAATTGATGGAAAAGAAAAGCCTAGGGTAGGAAGAAATAAAAAAATATGTAAAAAGAAAAAAAAAACAAACATTGAAAATATGTATATTTCATGGCATATAACACATTATTATAAAATCTAATGTTTTAAAAAGTAACTATTTTTTATACCAACTGAAGTAACATATTATACAGGGTGCATTCAAAAAGTATCCATCTTTATTTTTTCCTGCCAAAACTAATGTTGTATAGGCAAAATCCTTTCGGTGGGAGGTGATGCCATGCTTCCAGTGTGTGAGTGAAAATTTTCTCGCCTGTAGGCCATGTCAGTTCCCAGTTGTTATGCCTAGGGTGCAGAAATGTAGTGTATGCTCGTCATATTTTTTTTTTTCATGCAAGATGACCAAACACATTAAGCAGAGATATTGCATCAAGTTTTGCCAAAATTTTGGTGATACTCAAGCTCAAACCATCTAGAAAATTCAGTAAGCCTTTGACAATGATGCCATGGGCAAAACTCGGATCAAAGAGTGGTACAACTGCTTCAAACATGATCACACCTCAGTGAAGAGCGAGTCAGGCTTAGGCAGACCATCTGAGGAGCCAATTGAAAAGGTTTGGTGAATAGTCATGAAGATGATCATACAACAAACCAGGAAATTATTCACAAAGTGGGATTAAACACAGGATCAGTTCATTCTATTTTAACAGAGGATTTGTGCATGCAGAGTGTCAGCAAAATTCTTCACCAAGGTGCTAATGGAGCAATGGAAGCAACTCTGCATGGAAATCACTCAAGACATACTGGACTGTGCAAACTATGACCCAGATTTCATGAAGTCCATCATCACTGGTGATTAGACATGGGTTTATGGTTACAGAAGCAATTTGAATCACGAGACGAAATTATGAAAAAAAGCAATGGCCAAGCTCCATAGTGATCTAGAGGTGTTACCAACAATGGCAGTACTCCTGGGAGAAGTGTGTAAACTCCCAAGGGGAAGATTTTGAAGGTAATTAAAGTAAAATTTGTGAAATGTACAAAATTGATTTTTTTTTTATGCCCACATACTTTTTGAACACACCTTGTATTGCAGTAGTGAAAGAACATTCCAAATTCAAGATTTCTTTAAAATTTGAATAAACTTTATCCAAGTCGTTAAACATCCAGTCAATAGGGCCTAACATACACCAACTGCATCCTCTACCAATGGATAACCTTTTCATAAAAGGGAACACCTACCTGGAGGATGCTTGCAGATTAAGCTTGACCGATGCTTAAGTACAAACTCAAGTGTAAACCTAACTAATGTTTACCCACAGACTCAAGTATAATAATAATAAAAAAAGCAAATTTCAACATGAATCCAACAAGGGTTGATATACCATAAAATCCACCAAGCAAACAGTTAAAATTTTCTACCTAGATTCTTTTCTTCTGTGCTTTAAACATTATCGCTTTTTGTTTCTTCTACTGAAATGTTGTTCTCAAGAATTTTAACTTTAAAACTTCAGGGAGAATTGTTGCTATTATGACATTTAATGTGTCTGCCTAACTATATTTGACATGATCAAGTTTCAAAAGTTAGATAATTATAAAAAGCACTTTTAGCAAAATTTCATAACATTTTTGTTCTTTTTAACTAATTATCATGGTGTTCTTTACTAAATGCCAAGTCATAGTGCAACTCACACCCAAAACTGAAAGCTTATTTCAAATCTCATCACTCTACTGTGAGTAAAGAACTTTAGATTCGGTTTGGGTTTGTGGTAGTTCACTGCTGTAGTTGGCTAAAGAAATTTTTGCTTTTTACATTTGGAATGACTAGCTTATTTAATTGAAGTAAGTATAAGATTTATTTCTTTATTTCCTCTGGATTTACTATATTACTTTATTTTTTCATTGTAAAAACAAACTTTTTTTGTGTGAAATTCACTAAAAAATGTATTTTAGGAAACTTGGTCTTGTTACTGGGAAGTTAACATTTTTCTGCTAAAAGTTAATTTAATATTCTTCATAAAAGCAAATACATGAAGGATCAATTTAATTTATTTTTGGTAAATACACTAAGGATCAACTTTATTTTTGCATAATTTATTTTGTTTCTACCAAATGGTTCGTTGATTTTGTTTAGCAGCATATCAACCCCTATGGATTATTTAACAGCACAATCTAAATATTTTGAACAATTTTATAGCTTCAACTAAATATATTTTGAATGCAATTATATGCCTTTAACTACACATAAAATGTATTGTTGGTCATTTTGCTATAAAATGTTGGTAGTTTTACTATAAATAGGTATTGTTGGTAATTTTTTTTAAATAAAAATAAATTGCTGGTATTTTTACTATATATAAGAATGTACATTCATAGTATTTCATTTTTGTTTATTCTTTTTTTTTAGGCAAGGGACACTATTTGCCCATAGCTGGGATTGTAACAGGTGCTACCACTTCAGGTTAGGGTGGACTTGTGACCAACAGCAATTAAGAGGTGAGTCTAGGCTCCTCAAAACCTCCACTCTCCTGATCAGAGGCCATGTGTCGGATGTAATTTATCGTCATACCCAAGACTATTTCTGCCAAATGAAAAAAAGTATGTTGAATTTTTACCACACTTCATTTACTGAAATGTAACATTTTAATTTTAGTTGATTTAAAGAATTAATTAATCCTATTTCTCTAGTCTTTCTTATTACAAATGTTACAAAGTCTTTCCCAAGAAAGTTAATTTTAATAATGTTTTTTATGTATAATTTTTTAACAAACTTTTCTTCAAAGACTTTTTTTTTCTTTGATATTGTATTTGTACTGCAAAATTCATTTAAAAATGCTATTATTTGTTACCTAAAGTTAATTTAATATTTTTCTTTATGGTATTGTTATTCATAACAACAAATATATTGATGATAAAATTTAATATTTTTTTTAAAATCAGAATCTCCCCAAGCAAGGCAGTAAAAGCCACTAAGTCACAAAGAAAATAGTAGCATTATTAAGGAATAAGAATAACAGAAGAAAAATCAGAAAGACAGTAGATAATAACTGACATTGCATTTAAATTTTTAAAGATTAAACTTGACTGGAAAGCAAGAAGCTGGAAAAGAGTTCCACACGCAAGAAGTTTTTATAAATTAATTTGTGATTTTCTTTTTTAAAAGGTATTTAAAAAAAAAAAAAAGTTGAATTTTAGTTTAATTTATACTACAAAATTAATGAAAACTCCTTTATTAAGTGGAAGAACAAGATTTGATATATAACTGTAAGACTGGGTTGCATTATGATTTGGCCTTTAGTAAAAACACCATGCATTTTATAACTACAATGAATTCTCTTTGCTCATATTTTGACAGAAATTTCAACAGATATAGTGATCATGATAACACCATTGCATAGAGCAAGTTTTGGCTACAAAAACGCTATTTTCTACACTATGATGTCTAAAGGATATTTTTTCTTGCCTCAGTGCCTGGTCTCAAATATCATCCCATATAAATTGAAACATATCTAAAATCATTTTCCATGAAGATTAAATAGTTGTAATAAACTTATATAGGATTCTGAACATAATGTTTCATTCAGAAAGGTTACAAATATTGAATTATGTTTCTTTTTTTTTATTTCTTAAAACAAACTGAGAACTCAAAAGAGACGAGTCAGAGTAAAGTAATCTAAGGGAGGTAATTCAGTATTTGTTATGCAGTTCTTTTCCCAAATTCTTATATAGAAAACTCCAGCTGTGTCTGCCTTTTGTTCTTGGTAATTCTACCAAATGCATACTATCACTGGAAATATGGGATTGTTAAGTTGAGCATTCCAAACAATTTTTGCATAACTTACATTTCCCTTAATTTTTTTTTTTTTTTTTTAGAACAATCTAAATGTGAATGTTTCCTTGAATTTGAAAAATCATGCATCCAAAATAAAACAAAATATAGCATCCAAAACGGAATATAATTTATATTGTAAATATTTTTTTCATAAGTAAAAACTGAAATTTAATTTAATTTCCAGGAGAAAAAAAAAAACGTTCATGGATATTTCAATTTACATGGAAAAATATTTTCAGAAAAAAAAAAAATGTTTCATTTTCTGGGAGTATTTTCCCTTCTTATCAGAATAAGAAATGACTGATTATTGACTTGTGCTGCTTATTTCATTTATTTATTTTGGTACGTAGTTTCAAATTTTGTTTTATTTTATATTATTACACCAAATGATTTCTCTACTAAGCAAAAACTGAATTATATAATAAACATTTAGAAGTGAAATTATATTTTTACACCCCCTCAACCACAAATAGCATGGAAGGTATGTTGCAAAAATTCAGAACAATAAAAGAAGGGCATAAAGAAATTTACATAAATTTATTAAACACTAAACAGTGTTTAATTGATGCTGATTTTTTTTTGATTTTTTTTATTGAAAACAAGTTTCTAGACTTTCAATTTAGTTTTTAGTTTTATTTACCCAAGCTCCCAACAAAGGCAGGATTTGACACAAGGTCTTTTTTATGTGGGGCACTCAAACACATACATATGAGCCAAGGACAAATATTGCCCAGTCCATGTGTCTATTGTGATGCTGGCATCGATATTACACTGACCCCAAATCACTTACTACAATTTAGGAAGGTGTTGCTGCAGGGTTGGCATCCCCAACACCAGGCGTCTTCTCCCATCTCAAATGAGAACAGATACTTCACTTTTAGTCTGGATGTCATAATGCAAATTTTAATGCACGCAAGGTAAATATATGGTGTTTTAAGGTTGTTGGGTGCAGAACTTGAGGATAATCTTTTGAAAAAAAAATCATTTTAAAGGGAGATGTAAGGGCGGTAATTCAATGTTTGGTATGCAGAAATCGTTTGAAATGCTAATATCCGGGATGGTATTTTGAGAAGGTAATCTATACAATTCAGTGATCCATGTGTGTACTTAATTTGGAAAAAAAAAAAAAAAAAAGTGAAAATGATTATTAAAAAAACAAGTTTTGAAATTTAAATCCTATTATTGTTGCGTTGCGACAAAAAAGGTAATTTTTATTTTACTGATAATGTTTTTTTATTCCAAAAGAAAACTCACAAAAATGTCCAACCCTACTGCATGAAATAAATAAATCTAAATCAAAATTGAAAGCCACTTTTAGAAATTATAATGTGCATATAGATGCCTGATCTCTCCAACACTCTTCATCGAGTTTTTGAAGAGAATTATGTAGGAAACCTTTCACAACAACATGGTGGTAGGTAGACCTTTGCAACCCGCGTTCCGCAGACGATGCCTTATGGCGAGCAGTAACAGTGAGCTGCAAGACCTGATCAACAAACTCATTGAAAGAGCCGGCTCATATTCAACACAGAGAAATCTAAAAAAGTAAAAAGGTGAACAGCACAAGCAATACCAGTGCCAGCGTCACCATGGACGGCGAACCACTGGATTAAGTTTCCAGCTTCGAATACTTGGAAATTCTGTCAACCAAAACATCCAACGCAGAAATACGCACACGGCTGCAACAATGTCCAGACAGTTGTAAATAAAGGATATGAAAGAGCAACATCAGCTTCCATACCAAGTTCAAGCTCTATAAATCGCTGGTCGTATCCATCCTTCTCTACTGGCGCGAGACGGACAACTCCTGGTTGAAGCAGGATATGGGATCTAGGCATTCGAGAAAGCTCCTCCGGATCTCCTACTGAGAGTGGGAAAAAAAAACAATGACTATGTACGGAGCAAGGTCAAAAAAAAAAAAAAAAAAAGTATCGTTGGTCCGGTCGACAGGACTCTCTCCTCGCCACTAACTGTCGGAAGATGGCATGATTTGGCCACGTCATATGGCATTAACGGCCTCTGTAAGAAGAAGACCATCTTGCAAGGCAGTGTTGAATGGGGCAAGAGCAGGTCAGACAACATTTACTAAGAGTGGACGGACATGACAATAGGAATTATTATCCTGGAGGGGGTTGTTTGTTTCTTCTGTCCTTAGCCACCCATTCCCCTACCCCCGTACGATTGAATCGGTCAAGGGACTGATGATTATGAATACGCATATTAAACTAGAATTGATGGTCTGACTTCCGAAAGTGAAACACTTCTGTGTTCGATTGGTTAGCAATCAATAGTTGTTCCGAAGTGAGCACGACTACACACGTGTAGACAATTATTATGTACCAAGATTGACTTCAGCAGTGACAGGAGATTCTAAAACAAGTTTTAGTTCTCAAAAGAGTCAAACTTTTAAAATATTACAAGAACTATCAGTGTAATTTAGTGTTTACTAAATATGAATTTACAACTCCTATGAACAAAAGCGAACGACAACGTAAATAATCTAAAGTTTATGAAGTAAACAGAGGATAAGAGATAAATGAAAAATAAACACTAAAAATAAAAAATTTGTATTTTCATTGAAGAAGTTAAAAAATTAATTAAAAAGAAATAATTTTCCTAAAATCTAAAAGTCGCGCCGATTTTATTTACAAATAATATAAAGGTTGACGAAACTGAAATTAATTCTCGAAAAATCAGACGAAAAAATGTGAAACTAAAATAAGTCTTGCTTGATTATTTTCATCGTTTTTGCAAATATGCTATTTAAAATTTATCCAATCTTCATCAACGTTCCGGAAGCAAGAAGAAATCATACATCATTGTTAGGGTGGAGGGCGACTAAAGGATAGTCATGTCTAGACGAAAAGGCTTTACCGTTTTTTTTACAGTACACACAATATTACATCTTCACTTAGGAAAAATATGGCGGACAAGTCCATCCTTTTGTTGCCTCTACTGACAAAAAAAAAAGAAAGACTTATTTCGTTTTCATTATCATTTTACATTACAATAAACCATCATTTTGGAAAAGAATAAACAAGAACACACGAAGCGGTTTTTTTTTTTTACTTAAAAAATATTTTTAGGACTGATCAATACAACTCATTTTTATGACTAAAAATAATTTTTAGTTTACTACGATAAATTAAAACCGGTATAAAAGAAATAGTAGTAATTAAAATAAGTTATTAAAAAAATATAACTCGCGTGTATCTAAGAAAAAGAAACGAAAGATGCGCCAACAGTTAGAGATGAGAAAGAGGAGCATTAATTAAACAGTGAATAATATATATGCAGCTAAGATATGAGCTGTTTTGGATAACTGATGGTAAGGAAAGTATAATGAAGAGTTCGTCGTGAGATCTCACCTTTTAAAAACACGTTAAACCATCTTCAATTTAATTGAAGCACTCAATGTTTGCAAATTTTACTGATGCTATCCGCCATGTTGGCAAATTTCTGAAAACGCCGAAGTAGGAAGTGACTGATTGGCTGATTCAGACCACATGATATGAGCGATGATTTGATTGGATGATGACATTTGTTTCTGTGTGACTGGAAGAAGAAAAAGAGATAATGTCAACAATGGCAACACAATTATTGCTATGTTCAAAGCTTAACAGGATTTTTTTTCTTAAATTGGATTCTGTTTGAAACAATAACAGAAATGAACTGACTTTTTAAAATGAAAAAAATAGGTTGTGAATATACGTAAAAATTATAAAATGTTAAAAAGAAATTAATTGAATTTACAAGTTTATGAAATGCTGTTTCAATTTTTCTTTTTAACATTTTATAATTTTAATTTAGTGAATAAATTCTAAATCCAATATATGATGGAATTAATTTATGCTAACTAATAAAATATTTATTTTTAGCATTTATTTTGTTTTTGTGAATTAATTCCTTAATGTCTTCTATATGAATGTATCTTTAATGAGTGTGTTCAACATATTGTAAGAGTTTATGAAAAACAAATCTAATGGGAATTTATAATATCACATTGAGTTGATCAGTTAATAGGAGTTAATAACACCAGATAATGGATTAGTTATGGAATATTCTTCCATTTTGTATTTCCCCCATTATGAGCATTATTATAGCCATGATATAATAACACTTTATTTCACGAATATAACAGAATAGCTGGAAGAAAAGGAATGACAAACATGCTTTGTTCTCAGAGATAGTTTTATGCCACTAAGTCATACACAAAATTATATACACTTATTTACATTTGCCCATGCAGAGAAACTATACCACATGTCTAAACAACGAGCAGTATGAAAAGTTAATGAAAAAATATAGTCTTACTTGTCATAATACCCAACAGGAATTGGAACTGCTGGAGATACTTTTGTGTTTCTGAAGAAAACATATTTAGAATTCCAGATTCAAGAGTTTCTATATCTGGTAAAGATATATTCCCAAAGGGAAATGGCACCATGAACTTGTAACCCACCCATGTGGCAGCTGGTTACCCCAAGCAGAAGTTCAGGCAAAGCTTCAAACAAGGCAACTGCTCAGTTTGACTTCTGGAAGCTGATTGATGGACTGGCCACTTTCATCACTCTATGAAGTGACATCACTAAGCAACCATCATGTGACTTCATCTCAACCAAATACAGAAAATTATGTACACATATTTACATTTACCTCACATAGGGAAACTATAACACATGTCTACACAACAAGCAGTGTGAAAAGGAAACAAATAGATAAGGTCTTATTTATAATAATTCCCAACAGGAACTAGAGCTGCCAGATATTCTTCTGTGTTTCTGGAGAAGCCATATTTAGGATTCCAGATTCCAGCAAGACAGATTTTATTTCTACATCACTAGTGAGAAAATATTCGGCAAACAGGAAACTGCAAGTGATGGATTCACCATGACCAAAGGGAGATAATTGCTTTTTGTATCTCTACAATCCATAGAAATTAACATTTGGTAAATTTAACAAATTAGATTTAAATTATAGGGTACACATTAATAAAACATAATTAATCAGTTTCAGACAAAATAAAAATTTCTTGTTATTGAAAATAATTAAGAGATCCCTCCTAATTAGATACAAACTTAAAATAAAATTTAACTAACTTATAATCTACATAGAAATATGGAAAATACACAACATTTAAAATATATATCAAGTTATTAATCTGCAAACACTCAACTGATTAGCATGTATAGTTATTAAGTTATTAGAAATTTTATACTCTTTAGAATAAAGCTGAGAATTTTTGTGTTAAATATTCACATTTTGATGGAACCTACATGCTGATGCTGAGAGCTATATTTAACATCTTTTGGAGACAACATCCAACTAAATCACAACTCTATGGGCCCATCCCTGATATTTCTACAAGCTTACATGAATGCAGGTCATTGCTGACATGCAAAACACGAACATGCAAATGATTTACTGCTTTGGGCACCTAGACATGGAGCAAGACAGGCTGGTTGCCCAGCAACCACCTATATTGACCAGCTATGTTATGACACAGAATGCCACCCTAATGACCTTCTGACCTAGATGCAGAACTGTGGTGGGTGGTGTGATAGACTCATGAATGTCTGAGCTTGCTCAAACAAATAAAAAATAAGTCATTTAGCACCTACTATTATGTCTGTGCATGAAGTATAAATAAAAGGACAATATATCAAATATTCAATTAGAGGCTAAATCAGTGATTCTCAATTGTTTTTTACGCATTGACCACTTTTATACTTAATCTATTTTTGGTGGACCCCCATAAACATTCAATGAAAAAAAGCTTATTTTATTTTTTACTAATAGATAAGTTTAGGAATTGTATTATAAAAAATAGTAAATTTTTATGCTTTCTTTTGAAGTAAAACTAATTTTATGAAAACAAACTCGTATTCAACAATTAAATTATATGGAACATTTATGTTCACTAATAAAATATCTCGTAATAAACCATTTTAAAATATTTGAATAATTAATAAATTTAAAAAAATTAATAAATTTTTTTAAAAAAGTGCAGATTTATTCAATGGGATCATTGTGGTTGATGCTGCTCTTCGATTTTTTTTTAATATTTGGCTCTATCGATGTCAATGAAAGTAGAATATCACTCTATCTGTCTATATGATTACTTACATTAATTACATTATTCAGAAATAAAAAAATAAATCATTTAGTGCATACTATTATTTCTATGTGTGAAGTATAAATAAAAAGACAGTATATCAAGTATTCAGTTAGAACCTAAGTCAGTAGTTCTCGGACATTTTTTACCCACTGACTACTTTTACTCTTCAATTCTTTGGTGGACCCCCATAACCATTCGATGAAAAAAAAGCTTGTTTTATTTTTTACTAATAGATAAGTTTATGAACTGTATTATAGAAATAGTAAATTTATATGCTTTATTTTAAAGTAAAACTAATTTATTGAAAATAAACTTGTATTTAACAACTAAATTCTATGGAACATTTATACACACTAGTAAAATCACTCATAATAAGTCATTTAAAAATGGATCTCTGTGGACCCCAGTAATGTTACACGGATCCTGGTTGAGTACCACTGATCTAAATGAATATTGCTTGCTTTTTATTAAATAAACCATTTTAAAATATGTAATTAATAAATTTTTAAAAAGTACAGGTTTATTCAATGAGATAACTATTGTTGATGATCCTGAAAAGTTTATTTCTGTTAATCTTTCCTTTATATATAATACTTATATAATTTATATATTAAATTAATTTTATTATTAATATTTTATTTTAAATATTTTATATTAATTAATCTATATTAATATTTTATTTCATTATTTAAAATTAATATTATTATTATTATATATATTAAATTAATTTATATAATAAATTATAATTTTCTTTTATATACAGTCCTTCCTTTATATATCCTTCTCAGTTTTTATTCAACTTTCACAATCAAAACATTTGGTAGAGTAAAAAGGATGCTAACTTACATCACCTGGCCTTGTTTTTTGCTAGTTTTAGAGTTTGTTTTTTTTCTACTATTTTAATATGGCATAGATTACTGTAGAAATTCCAATTGTCAGTTGTAACAACCATTCCAAAGCGAAATTGTCCTATGGATCACTAAAATATTACCGTGGACTGCCAATTTGCTATTTTTTTTGTGTGAATGAAATCTTGTCTCATTCTGTTTACTATTTTGAAAAAAAAGCTTCAAATGAAGGAAATGTTCAAATGATTCAGAAGTGATGTCTGTAAAAGTGAACAGTATTTCAATGAACAAATATAAAAATGTTCTTTTTCTTTTTATTTTAAGAGTCAAACAAAGTTGAGAAAGGATGTGCCAAGTATTTGAAAAAGCAAGAAGATTTCATGACGCTAGGCTGTTCCTTACTGGGTTAAAGCAAGAATTTTCAAGAACTATTATACAAACATATGAAACAATGAAACTAATTTCAAATGGTTTCATAAAACAAAAGCTAGATCCTAAAATGTCAGGCACAAAAATATTGAAATAGTTTGAAAGAGAAGTTAGTTTGGTCGGTTGATTTTGTTTAGCAGCATATCAACCTCTATGGGTTATTGAATGCCAAAATCTAAATATTTTGAACACAATTTTATGGCTTCAATTAAATATTTTATTACATTATTTAAAATTAATATTATTATTATTAATATATTAAATTAATTTGTATAATAAATTATAATTTTATATAATTTTCTTTTATATATAGGCCTTCCTTTATATATCCGTCTCAGTTTTTATTCAATTTTTGCAATCAAAACATCCAGTGAAGTAAAAGGGATGCTAACTTAATCACTTGGTCTTGTTTTTTGCTAGTTTTAGAGGGTTTTTTTTTTTCATGGGTTTCTACTATTTTAATATGGCATAGATTACTGTAGAAATTCCAATTCTCAGTTGTAACAACCATTTCAAAATGAAATTGCTAAATGGGCCACTAAAATATTACTGCCCCCCCCCATTTGGTATTTTTTGTGTGAACCCTCAGTAATATTACATGGATCCCAAGGGCGCATATAAACCCTGATTGAGAACCCCCTGTAATGTTACATAGGTTCCCAAGGGTCCATATGGACCATAGCTGAGAACCACTGGTCTAAGTACCCTACACACTAACCACCAATCTGTCACTGAGTGGCATGCCACTAGCATTTACTACTCACTGTCAGATTGCCACCATGTTTGTCTCAGCAATGTTACCTCTGGTGGACAGCTAGAGGCCCACTGGTGGCATGCTGGTGGTTGCCACTAGAGGACCACTGGCAGTGCACCAGTGGGCCACTAGCAGCTTACGTGTAGGGTAGTCCACATGATAATGCAAGTAGAAGCCAGATGTAACAGTTTGAGTTAAAGTCATTAAGAAATTTTCCTGTATCTAGTCTATTGCTTGTCATGTAAAAACTGTCTTCATCAGAAGAAATTGGACTAAAAAAAAAGAAACCGTTTTTGTAAATCAATACAACTATTCCAGGTACTGTATTTGATGGCATATAAGATGCACGGGCATATAAG